ACCAATCTACTTCTGGTCTTGACTCCTTGTACAACTTCTTACAGTAATTCTTATAAACTCTTCTAAATGTTTTCATTGTGATCCAGAAGGTCAAGTTAGTTCAAGAGTTTTCATATGACTATTTGAACATGATAGATAGATAGATAGATAGATAGATAGATAGATAGATAGATAGATAGATAGATAGATAGATAGATAGATAGAGAAAACAACATGCCTTACAACTATATATAATAGGGAGAAGTTCTGTCCAAGATACATGTCAGAGATCCCACTGAGTATTCAAAATATATATTTTTCAAGACTGTGGAACAATTGAGATCAATAAACATTTTCAAAAGCATCATGAATACAAAGAAAATAGAAGTTTGTTAGTTCTTTGATTTGCTTTATTGTGAAGGTAATGTAATTGCATCAAGAACATTTAGACTAGTAATTCTGTGTATTCATCAAAACAGATGCATTTACAACTGTGCTTCCCTTATCTTAATCAGAGGTATTTGAAAAAAATTACAGGATTGCTGCCCTTAAAAAGAGACATTTGGGGGTGGCAGGGAGAGTCTTGGTGCTTGTGCGATCTGTAAATGATAGGACTTTTGCTTTTACAACAGAGAACATTTGCAACAGTATTAATCAAAGTAATTCCTGTTCTGAAATTATGGACTGTCTTACATTATGATAAGTATTGAAGAACCAGTAGAAAGTTATAATTAAAATATCAGGTTGTTGCTTGCAGAACTGAATTATTTTACAGTGGCAATATACACTGAAGCATTTCTAGTCTAAGATTACAAATGGTGTATTGTGGTATTATGCAATCAGATCTTTAATACAGTACATATTGTTCCATGTTCTGTGCAAAAGAAGAAGAAATAAGCATTTACACTTTCCTAAGAATTTTTGAGTTGACTTGGAGATTGTTTAGAGGTCAGCCAGATAATCCTATAACTACAAATTAGCCCCACCCCACCCCGCTGAAAATTCTGCATTTTGAAACTGAAGCTAAATATAGAAGTGTAATCATTGTAGGGTTCTAGGATGCAAAGCTAAGAGACACTGAGATAGCAAATTGCTTGGTTGGATTCCTTCCTTAGTATATTTTATTCCAAGGGTGCCATTATAATATACTATGTACAAATTATCATACAACTATCAATATATTAAATACATAATTAACCATACATAATTAATCCAAAAATGTAAAGCTATCACACTTACCTGAAATATTTAAACTATAATAATATAAATCCAAAATGTAAGCCAAATCTGCTATCTTTTTAGGTCTGAAGTCTTTAGTGCTGCCAATCTGGTTAAGAGAGCAGTTGCAAATTTCTAGCAGAAACTAGTGCTCTGTCATGCCTAGTTATTTGAAAGAGCAGACCTAGCTTATCTAATCATTTATCATTTGGGGTTTCAGTATTTAACCCTTTATAAACAGAAACATTTAGAAAATTCCTCCAGAGAAGAAATGGAGAACTAAAAGTAACATGGCAGAATGAAAAACCAGTAAGTAGACCAACTCATAATTCCTTCCTGGGCAAGGAGAAAACTTCAGATTGCCCACCAGGGCTCCATACAGTTGCTCCTTGTTAGGAGACTGCAAGACAGCAGCTGTGGGAGACGAGGGAATAGCCAGCTTGCTGAATTGGAGCCTTTGAAAGGACACAGCATCCCCATGTTTCTTTTGTAATCACTTTCAGAAATTGGTTGTTAACTACGTTTCAGCTAATAGGAACCTTTGGATCATTAGTACCATCAATTATTAGTGAAAGGAGTTTTAAAGGCAAGTGTAAGAACTTAATAAAACATAGAATAAATAGGAAAAGGGTGATTAAAACTTTGATTTTAGAAAGTTACAAACAATCTAAGAGTCCAGAAAAAAATTTGAAACAATATTTTGGAATTAATTATAGAGAATCTTTCCAATGGGAAAATGTTTTGCGTTGAATTCTCTAAAAAACATAAGATGGAATTTGAAAGTTAGTTGTCAGAGGAATTTAGAAGGAATTAAAGATTACAATTAAAGGAGAAGAGCACTTAAATTTGACTTACTAATACCAAATAGAGCAGAACAGTTTAATATTCAAAATATTGAAAAATATTTTTGATCAAGGGTCCCAGAAATTAATTTTAAGAATGTCTGTGTGTATATATGCACTTTGTTCGAAAGAAGTTATGGAAGAGGAACAATTTTTATTGGACAAGACAGAGACTGATCTGAAGGTGGATTTAAAAATAACGCTACAAGAATGATAAAAGAAAAAAAAGTTACACCAGATATACAAAGGAAATTGATTGATGTCTTAATAATTGAAAGGGAGTGTTACTTGGATAACTTCCTATATTGGATTTGGATTTACAAAAGTGTCTTGTTAAAGCTTTGAAAAATTTGTGAGGAGACAAAGAAAAAAGAAAAACTAAATTTTAGGACACTTGAAGGGACTAGACCAAGATTGTCGAAAGTAAAAGAAAGGAATATAAAATCGGTCTATTTATCATGGTTAAATAGACAAGCTGTCTATCTCTGGCAACCCTTAATAGACTTTTGCTGATCAGGGCTGAAATGATGACTTTAAGGATTTGTCATAGATAAAAGATGGATATGGGAAGAAGAGATCATTTGTTGTATTTTAAGAGGTATAAGTTATTAAAATTGTTTATACTTGTAATGAAGAGGGAAGACTCATACACATACACATGATTTTCTATATTCTTCCTTTTCTCTGTACCTATTTTTATTTTTTATTTTATCATTTTAGTTTTAGTTTATCACTGGAATTGTAATTTTTAATAACACTACTACTAAAAAGAATTTTTTAGAAAATTAACTAGATTCTTTGGAGATCTTGAAGATATACAAATTATAGCTTTCAGATTTTGTGAATACTTTAGCCTAGACATGAATTTGATTCATCATTAAAGCATATGCTGTAATTTGTGTCTTTAACATACCACAAAACTTTTCATTATTTTTGGTTTAATTGACACACCCTTCGGAAATAATGAAATTTCTGTGAAGGTTAGACTGGAAGTTGAAAAAGTCTCCTTAATAATACAAATGGCAAGCCACTTGTGAATCACACTGAAGTCAGTTCCCAGAAATCCAGACTTCAAACTTGCATCACCATTCTTAATACTCATATATTTTTATATTGTGGTACTTATGTCCCTATTTTATATTTTGAAATGTTACTTATGGCTGAGACTGTGTCCTAAGGAATTTGCACATATTTCTGATTTCTTTAAGGATCGAGGTACATTATATTATTTTACAAAACTTAATTTCATATCAGTGTCACCACTGTTGCATGTTACTGAGCTAAAATTCTTCCTGGTAAAACTTCCCTTTTTTTAAAAAACAAACAAACCAAGAATGTTGCATTTTTTTTTTCTTTTTTTAAAGACCTTTTCGGCAGCCTTGCTGTTAGTCCTTAATTACAGATTTAAACCAGCCTTTAAGAAAAGCATGAAAGGAATAAAACAGAAATAAGCATCTTATAGAAGGTCAATGTATATGTGACTTAATAATGGCTTTACAGGATTCTGCAGCATTTCCATTGGCTTCCAATTAATTTGCAGTGAAATTCATAGAACTGATTCTGACTTTTACAGTCCTAGACTGAGCCTAGGACAATGATGACGAACCTTTTAGAGACCGAGTGCCCAAACTGCAACCCAAAACCCACTTATGCATCAAGTGCCGGCTGGGTGTGGCCAATTGGGTGGGCGTGGCTGCGGTGGTAATGGCAGACTGGGTGGGACTAAAAAGTTCAATCAATCAATTCCAACTTTGCAAGATCCTTTTTTTCCCCGCTAGAAGTTGAAATTGACTGAGCCTTTTTTTTTTTTTTTTGCACATGGTGGCGGAGGCCTAAAGCGAAAAGGTTTTATAAAACGCAGCTGAAGGCCTAGGACTGGGGCGACGGCGCGCGTGCCCACAGAGAGGGCTCTGAGTGCCGCCTCTGGCACCCGTGCCAGAGGTTCGCCACCAATGGCCTAGGATACTTGAAGGTTCTTCTCTGCCTGCATAAACCACTGACCCACCAGAATTGACCTCAAAATCAGATTATTATAGGTGCTGCTGCGAAGATGACAATATTTCACCTACAAGTGGAATTCTTTATATTGCTGTGAAAAAGCTGAGTGTTTCTTAGCGTTTTAGTACTGCAGGCATTTATTTAAAAAACCCTTCTTTTTTGCCCATTTTCCCACTGTTTCTCTATTGATTATATATCTTATGGAATGATCTGTCCCTATCAATTTAAACTGATCTATACAGATAGTACTTGACTTACAACCACAACTGAGCCCAAAATTTATATTGCTAAGCAAAACAGGTAAGTAAATTTGGCCCCATTTTATGACCTTTCTTGCAACAGTTGTTAAGTGAATCACTGCAGTTGTTAAATTAGTAACACGGTTAAGTGAATCTGGCTTCCCTACTGACTTGGCTTGTCAGAAGGTTGCAGAAGGTGATCGTGTTGCAGTGTTGCAATGCAGTGTTGGGACACTGCAACCGTCGTAAATAGGAGTCAGTTGCCAAGTATCTGAATTTTGATCACTTGACCATGGGGAGGCTGCAATGATTATGATGTAAGTAAAACGGCGTAAGTCACTTTTTTCAGCGCCGTTGTAACTTTAAATGGTCACTAAGTGAACTCTTGTAAGTCAAATACTACCTGTGTGGAAATATATGTGAAATAATGAAATAATCCTTACACATATATATGTTTAATCCTTTCCCATAAATACGTTGTATATCTATCTACATTACAGGTTTCCAGCAGAAGGGACAGGAATGTAGATGGCCATCTGATATGCAAATGAGCTGCCTAATTACTGCTGCAAAGGCAAATTTCTGTAAATTTTGCAGAACATTTTCCCACAAGCGTTCTTCTACCATCAGTGACACAAATCTATGATAAAGTAAGTTAATACTTTTGTAAATAAACGGTAACATTGTTATGAATGTACAATGATCTGAATAGGGAGGCGTAACCAACAATTGGCAAATATTTAATACAAGATATTTTGAGCAAACTTTGTCAATCTATATACAATGTAAAACCATATTATTTCTTTCCTCCTGTACAGCCAAGCACTGCATTTCCTTTTCTATGCAGAATTGTTTATTTAGTCTTTGTTCAATGAAACTTTTTATTAATCAACATTTTTAGAAAAAAAGCCTTTCATGAAATTCTTTCAGTCATTTATCTTTCTCAACTTCCAATTATATAAATTCTGGAATGAACGGCTTATGATTTAGCACCAGACATTTTCCCACACCAATGTCAAATACTAAAAAGATTTAGCATTTTCAAAGAAATAAAGTTTTAGTAACAGCGTTGTTTTTGAAAAAATGTTAATGGTTTAACTTGGTGCTTTTAAAAAAATAATAATAACCATACTTTCCCAATATCTGACATCATTTGTTCCCTACTGGCTTTGTAACACTTTTTAAAATGACAAGATCACCTATTTTCATGCACTCAAAGATCATATGTGGGAATGCTATTGCTACTGAAGTAACGTGATAATTAAAAATGCTTCTCCACAAAATAAGACTGACATTATAAAGCTCCTACTGGTGTTTAGAAATGCTCAAAGAACAATATTAAATATGAAATTACTTACTAGCTATCGAATTGTTACCCTAACCCACTAGAGTGAATAAATAAAATATTTCAGACTCAATTTCAGCAACCCCTTTTCAAAACAGCACTCAGCATAGTACTAAAAACTGATATTTAACCATTAATAATTAACATTTAGTGTAAAAGTTCAACATGAAAATCTGCATTTAAAGAAGTTTTCACTGTTTAATGATTTTATATTAACAGTTTTCTCATTGATACAGCATCATCAAATGAAATATTGGAGCAAAGCAAAAATAAAACTATATTTTTTTCAGTTTGATTCTTGAATTGCATGCAAAAAGGTAGTTACTGTGTACTTTGAATCAAGAATGTTGCATTCAGTGAGAGTCCTCGAGACAGTTTGTAAAATAAACAGATACATACTGACCATTGTAAAACAAAATTTCAATGTTGCTCATAACTATAAAAAAAGCAGCACAAATACAGATTTGGTCAGTCTGGAAGCTGTATAAATATACATATCATTGTAGATTTCTACGCACCATGTTGGACATAATCTACTGAGAACTTTTCTTGTGCAGATCACCATAGAAATGATTGTGAGTTCCCAAACACCTCTGCTATTGATGGTGGGATGCACCGGAAAAGTTTTCCATAATTGTGCCCAATACCTTCACTTTTCCATGGCTTGACCTCTCCTTGGCAGGCAATTTTTTTTTTTAGCCTTGCTGAGAAAATGCAGATGCGCTCTGGATGGCATTTTATTTTCCTTTTCCATTTTTTGAAGATTTCTGAATCTGAAGTTTTAATTCTTTGATCATCTTCTCTAATTTCTGTCTTGCTTCTCGTTCCTGTCTCAGTTCATCTTGGAGCTCCTGTCTATCGGCCTCTGCATGATCCAACCTCTGCCTCAGCTCTGCTAACTGCAAGTTTGAAAAGTAAAGACAAGTTAAAACAGCTGGTATATCATTCACTTGTTTCTTAATCCTGGTAAATACGCAAACATTTCATGCTGTTCCAAAATAAAGCATCTGTCAGTAATCATACCATAAAAAATACCAGACTGGAACATTAAATATGTGCAAAAACATACAAAATTTTTTTTAAATACTTCCTATCCTTTCTTTCCACTTTGCTATTGCAACATTTTTAGTGAAAGTATTCTTATTTCTTTGACGTAGATGTTTCTAAATTGCCAGAAAAAACATTCATCCATTAAAACCACACCCAAATATTTGGATAGAACTGAAATAGCAATCTCTGAGTTAGTAAACTGTAAATAATGTAGGAAAAATCAAATCAGTGGGGAAGTGAAAGGTATATGGCATTTCTTCTGTACACGTTACAGTGTAGGCATGAGAAAAGTAAGGCTTATTTTAGTGTTAAATGAAACTGTTTTTAAAGATAAATAAAGCTGCAATCCATATGCTGCGGACCTGAATGCATGGAGCTCCAATGTGTTAGCAGCTATTCAGACATCTGAGGGGCAGAACTAGCAAGAGTGTATATTTTGTATATTTTACCAGCAATCCAGCGTTACATGTAATCCTCGGTTTATGACTGTTTAATGATTATTTAAAGTTATAACAGCCTCAGGAAAAATTACTTACAACATGTATTCACATTTATGACTGTCACATTACCCTCACAGTCATGTGATCACAATTCAGGCGCTTGGCAACCAGCTCATATTTACAACTAGTTGCAGCATTTTGCAGTCACGATTGTGATTTGCAACCTTTTTTGTCAGTTACTGGCAAAAATCACCCATTGGGGAAGCTGAATTTGCTTAATGATCAAATAATGCATTTAATGACTGCAGTGATTTGATTTGCTGCTGTCAAAACTAACATAAAATTGTGCCAGATTCAATTTAAGACCACAATGACTTACAATGGAAATTTCGATCCCAACTGTGATCCTAAGTTGAGGGGTACTTGTATCAAAGAAACATAGTCCACACCCAAATGAAACTCAATTTTACTGCTCACCTGAGCTGCGTATTCTGCTTCTTTGTCCTTTTCCAAACTGGAATCACAGGTACATTTTTGTTTTATTACCTGCTCTAGCTTCTTCTCTAAATCTCTTTGCTCAACATAAAACTCTTGCATTCTTTGAGCATGCTCAGTCTGCAAAGATTCAAGTTCTTTTTGTAAATTTTGTTGCTCTTCTGTCAACTCCTTCATGGCTTTGGAACTGCTTAACATTTCAACTTCCTATGAAGAAATGACAATTATATAGAGAGTTTTCAAAAAACAGAATTACAAAAAAAAATTATGCTTCAAATTTCATAGCCCTCAAGCTCTATTTTACTTGAAATAGGACTTAATATGGATATGTATCTTGTCCTTTTAATATTTCTTCTCTCAGAAATGTAACTCACGGTAGTTGTTAAGCATGTACTTATATGTACATGCTTACTATATATACACTCTCTATCAGTACACACAGACACACATATGAACTTAACCATTATGCACCAGTATTTCTACTTCAACATTCTCCATTAATATATTCACAGATATTTGGGGGAAAATATTTCAGATGGAGTTTTTTAAAGTAAAAAAAGGTATGGAATGTTGAGAAATTTTTCCCTCATACCTTTAAATATTATACTATAAAGGATTTCCCCCCGTGTTCAATTAAAATGCTAATCGCAAATGTAAGCTTACAACAATCTGAAATTGCCCTAATTTTATTTCTACTAGCTATCTTCTATTAGTCTGGACACCCTTTTTCCAGATATTAGTGCTGAGCAATTTTCATCATAGGAACCTTAGGGAACAGTTTAACCATGCTCATTATCCAGTGGAGACATAACAGATGCCAATGTAACACAAGATGTTGTTAGGAATTTCAATCTTCAAAGAGGGTGTGTGTGTGTGTGTGTGTTTGATTCAACAAAGTTTTAATCAAAGCACTGTCTCTAAGCAAAGCACTGAATCAAAGCAGTATTCCTCTTCAAAGCACTACACGAGAGCAGTCACCCCATTTTTGACCCAGATATTAAAAGGGGCTTCTCTGCAGGCACTCTACAGTGGGAAAGTTCCACCAATGCAAAGAGAATGACTGAAATGGGTTAGCCTACCGCAACAAAACATTAAGCAGAGATCTATGGAGATTCTCAGTCATCATTCCAGATCATGGTTGTCCCAAAAATGCTTTTTCAAGAGGCAACAGGACTTTCTTGTTTTTCTTTGAAGAAGTTTCACTTCACACAAGAAGCTTCTTCAGCTCTGACTGGATGGTGGGGAATAGAAGAATTTATATTCCTTGCAGACAAGCTGGTCATTTGCATTCTTCTAGAGAGTCGTTGAGGCCACTTGGAGGTTTGTCTGTGTCCTCAGGGTCACCTGAGTAGAGCAAATGGGTTTGGAGCCTTCTTGGAGCTGCTGAAAAGACTGTGTTGTGGAGCTGTGTTTTCTGCAGGATGTTTCCTGCCCTGTGTCCCACTGGTGTGGGAGTATGAACGATTTCCAGAAAAACTGCAGACTACAGGAACCATTTGCGCTTCAGTTTGAGATGGAGACAACACAGACTGCACATGTATTCAACAGTGAAGGGACACAGGGCAGACAACATCCTATAGAAAACATAGCTCCACAACAGTTCTTTTAGCAGTTCCAGAACTCCACACCCATCTGCATTACTCAGGTGATTCCAAAGATACAGACAAACCTCCAAGTGGCCTCAAGACTCTCTAAAAGAATGCAAATGACCAGTTGTCTGCAAGGAATATAAAACTTTCTATTCCCCACCATCCAGTCAGAGCTGAAGAAGCTTCTTGGATAAGAAGCAAAATGTCTTTTTAAAAAGTCCAGTTTCCTCTTGAAAAAGCACCTTTGGGACATTAAGCAGAAGGACAACTTATTATCAAAGTTACGTTTGATAATAGCTGAAGTCCAATTTTCAGGTTAGTATTCTTAGATGAAAGTAAGCTTTTAATACAAGTAAATATTAAATGAAATAGAGGGGAAAGTTTGTTTTTTTAACCCTGTCATTGTATTATTCATAATTATAAACTTTCATCTTAATATGTTTGGGTGATGGACAAAAATAAAATCACATTCACATCATACCATTTGAAGATGCTGCTTCTTTTGCAAAATTGTATGTAGCTTTTCTTGCTGTTTAATATATGTTTTTATTACTTCTTCCATCATTTTCCCTTTATCATCATCAGATCCAATACCATCGGTAAGAGCCTGAGATGAGGATTGTGCATCACTATTTATTTCCATCTCATCTTCTGTAGTCTCCCTGGGACTGACCTGCTCCATTTTCCTTCTGTTTGCAGGTTTAATGGGTATGGGTTGCTCTACAGAATCAAAAAGTCAGGAAAGCAATGTTTGTTGATTTTCTACAAAAACAATAATTTCATTAATGTTATTGTTATGAAACAGTTTCATTTTTTACTCACCTACACTAGCACAAATTCCAGATCTGGGCTTTAAGTCAAACTTCTCCTGTCCTTCAAGAGCGATGTCCTGATAAAAGACACTTTTTTTGTGTTTGCCTCCATTTTGCTGTTTCAGTGACATCCCCGGAAATGATTTATATACCTCTGATATTTTTTCAACAGTTTTTGTGGTTTCTTTACACTGTGGCATTGAAGTACTAAGAGATACATTCGGAGCAACCACTTTATCACACATGTAAAAGAAATAGCTGGAAACAACAAAATTGAAAAAATATTAGAATATATATAAATTAAATTATACCAAATCAAGCACAAAATAGAAAAGCATGGAAACAAACAAACAAACAAAAACCAACTCTTTAATCCCCTGCCTGCTACCCAGCAGTGGTAGATAATCATTATTTTGTGGAGTATAGGAACCATCAAATCAATTACAAAGTAAAAGAAAATACATTGCCATCAGTATACTCAAAAATCTATTGGCGAAAATGAATGAAAGTCTATTTTAATTTTCAAAGGTATTTTAACACTCATAATTTTATTAGTCTCCATATGCACTTTAATGTATTAATGTTTTGTAACTATATATGCCAGCCCACTCAAGATTCTGGGCAGATCAAAGAGCATTAATTAATTACAATATGTCTTGACTGAAGTATTGCAATATGCTCTATACACGTGCCTATCTTTGAAGACCATTCAAAAGCAGTAGCTGGGTTCAGAATGCAGGGACTCGGGTAGCAAGAGCACTCTCAGGTCATCCACATAACTGAGATCTGCCCTGGTTGCTACTGTAGTGGGCTTTGGTGAGCAATTCAAGGTGCTGGTTAAACCTTTAAAGTCCTTTGTGCTTTGAGGCCAGAATATCTGCAGAATTGGTTTTACCCTGCAGTATCTATCCACCAAATATGATCCGGTAGGGTGGATTTGCTACATGTCTTCTCAATTAGAGAATGTCACCTTCAAGAACCAAACAAGCATAACTTTTCAGTTGCCACTTCTCCTCTCTGGGGTACCCCACCCCCAATCTGTGACTTCTTTTCTTTTAGGAAACTAGTGAAAATCTGGTTGCTTCATCAAACCAAGGATTGCTGCAAGGTGAAGCAATCCAGATTTTCACTAGTTTCCTAAAAGACAAGAAGAAATTGACTCCCAGTTTCTTAACTGTTTTATTTACAATTCTCACTTCCATAAGAACATTTCTAGCTACTGTTTGTTCAACTGCCTATATGATTTTAATCCCAATTACATAACTGAGGAATTGTTTGCCACTCAGAGCAGGCAGATTGAATCAGCCTATAAGCAGCCTATAAATAAATATGTAAAAGCACAAAAAGGTTTTAAAATGTAAGATACTCAAAATTTTAAAGGCCTAGAGCAGGGGTAGGCAACCTTGACTCTTTTATGACTCGTGGACTTCAATTCCCAGAATTCCCGAGCCAGCATAGCTGGCTCGGGAATTCTGGGAATTGAAGTCCACGAATCATAAAAGAGCCAAGGTTGCCTACCCCTGGCCTAGAGGAAGAAAATTGTCCTGATCTCTTTTCAAAAAGCTGAGAAAGAAGGGCAGGCATCATAAAGAAAGTCTTCTTTCAGATCCTCATCTCCAACTTCCTGAGGAAAAGACATCAGAAGCACGCCCTTTCAAATTAAGAAGACAAAGACTGTCCTGAAGTAGATGAAGACCCAGGTCAGAAGAGAATCTCCTGTGCAAAAGTTACATCTATCAGACAATGCTTTGCTCTAGATTTTTTTATATAGATCCAACAGTATGTAAAAGACATAGTATATTCTCCATACAAACCCAGAAAGTGTAATTAAATTATGTAAAGTATCCATTTAAATTATGTAAGCCCTGCAATTGTATTTATAGCTGGCTTATGAAATAATTAAAATAAGTAACTCTGATCATTTTTATTAACGGAAGAATTTTACCTGGGATGTATAAATGAATGTGGCTGATCTGTAGAATCTGCTTCTTGCTTTATAACCGGATACCACTGCTGAAATTCTACATTATAATGGGAATCTGCCTAAGGAAGGAGAAAATATTTACATTTGTTATATACCATTCTAGTTTTAAAGCAAACTGCAATTGCAATTTTTATCAATTTTGTTATAAAAAAAATAAATCACAAATATAAATCAGCATTTCCATTTTCCCTACTCAACTATACCGTAAATAAAATCATAAGCAGCTTTCATAAAGATTGTAAGCTACCTAATGCTGTATCCCTTTCAGTCAAAAGAAATATTGTGCAGTATTTTGATAATTTAATATAAATTAATTATTGATCAATAAAATGGTCAATTAATATTAATTTGATTTAATACTGCCTATTTAAGAAATGAAATTGTGACTTTGTCAGGCAATTCACTCAACATCTAAGAAAATTGTAAGCATGAATAAAGTACACTGTGAACACAAAACTATTCATGCCTGTCAAAGTTTACATGGAAGAAATGAAAAGCAAGAATTCAAGAAAACCAACATGAAGCAATAAAAGCACACTAGCTAGGTGACCAATCTAATATTAAGCAAGACTGACTGCATATGGGAAACCTGACGCTGCCAGCTTTTGTTTTTTATTCATTCAGTTTTTATAGTTTTAATATGGTTATTATGTTGTTGAGTTTGTTATAAGACAGGCAGCTGCTTTAAATAAATGAATAGATATTTAATAGATCCAGGAACTCTTAACACATTTATTAATTCATTAATTAATTCATATAGCCTTATCCTTTCAAAAAGATTTTTTAATCAGTGTTTTCTTGTAGTCTTATAGTTTTTTTTTAATTTTTATGCACCTGCTAAAAGCAATACATCTACATTTCCAAACTGAAGGGAAAATAAGTTTTTGTAGGACCACCACAAAAAAAACCTAGCAAACAGAGAATACAGATTGTTCTACCTTTCTCTCAAGCCACTTGCTTAACTTTATGTCATTATGCTATTACATTTCTGCTACCTAAGGCAACCAGATAAAACTTTGAAGGCCAACCTGTTCCAATGGATATAGTACAAGAACAAATTGTTCGTTTTGTATCCCTGTTTATCATATTATTATTATTGCGGTTGTTTGCATAGTCAGCCAGAAGTTTATAGTGGATTTGGCATTTTTATCTATCACATCCTTCCCAGGTACCTGGGATAGGCAAATATTATTATTTTAGTTTGTCGCATGGTCAGCAGATGTTCAGGCTAGATTTGGCCCTTGCTCCACTTATCGAGTCCTTCCCAAAGAATCTGGATATTTGATGGTCTTAAGGGTATGTATCGCTGGATGTAAGCTGTTCTGAGCAAAGCTGCCTTTTGCAATTGACTGATGGTGATTTTGTCAATGCTGATCATGTTAAATGGTGCATTCAAGATGCCTATTACTACTGGTACTATCTTTGCTTTCTTTTGCCACAGTCGTCTATTTCTATTTACAGGTTCTGTTTCTATTTATTATCATTATCAAATTTCACTTTGAAACAGATTAAAAGTAGTAAATAAAATTAAAAGTAATAATCAGAATGGCTAACAATAAAGTTAATTACCATGATAACTAGACTTTGATTTTAAGAGTTATAATTTAATGAATACTTTTATTTGGGTCCAAAGAAGCTTTTTTGCACATAAATAAAATATTCCCATGAATAGAATATTATATAATTTAAAATTAAGTATTTTATTTTTGAATAGCTCTGATTCTTCCATTCATGCTTTTTCAACAATTCTTCAGAATTAGGATACTTCATACTAGTAGAAGGGTATCCCTCCCCACATCATAACCCAGTTAGTTTTTCCTTTTCTGTTCAAAATGTGAAGATTCCCCTGTACTCTGCATTTTAATACTTGTTACTTTGCTGTTCACAAATCAGAAGTGTTAGAAGCACTGCTGAAGCAGCAAAGTGTTTCTGCACTTTCTGTTAATGCATATATAATAGGAACAATTGAAGGTTTTTATTTTAAAAAAACCTTTCGTGTTTTGCATTCTATTTCTAAATCCACTTTAATTTGGGGGGCAAGAGCTACAGTTCTGCAGTTAGACTAAAAGAAAGAACATATGCAATTACTTTAAATTCTGATTACCGTATATGCCGGCGTATAAGGCGACCCGGCGTATAAGACGACCCCCGTCTTTATCGCCGAGCCACATTCCTAGAACGTCGTCTTATACGCCGGAAACTACCAGTATTTCCGGTGTATAAGACGACTTGGCATATAAGACGACCCCCGTCTTTGGCGCCGAGTTTAGCACTTCTGGAAGTCGTCTTATACGCCGGCATATACGGTACATTTGTTTTACAAAGGAGGCTAAGTAAATTAACTAAAAATGTGTTTGAAATTATGGCCGAAATGTATGTCTTGCCTTAGACCATAAGGGAATGTGTAAGTGTTATACAATGGCTCTACTCACTGTGACCTCAATTCTCTCCATGTAGTCCTCATTTAATGACAGTTATAGGAACCAGAATTTCCCTGGCTAAGCGGTGCATTTGTAAAGTGTAGCATCACATGACTGTGTCACATAGTGATACCAATCTTAGCAGCTTCTGTTGCCAAAAAAGGACTGTGGGTTATGAAATGAGACCTCACATGACTGAGACTTGCAACTTCCTACCAAATTCTAACAAGCAAAGTCAATGGGGAAGCAGCAGGAAGTTACAAGTCCCAATCACAAGCTTTTCCTTAGGTGACTTGGAAGCAGAAGAGTCAGCTGGCACTAACTATGGAGTGTAGGGAGACATGGGCATTGTGGCACAAGTGCAGCAGAGAAGTGGGCATTAAATGAGTGCAACAGGGGTGCATAGGTGGGCACTGTGGTGCTAGTCCAGGAGAAGTGCTACAACAGAAGTGAGTGCTGCAGTGCGGTCCAAGGATAGGCAAGTGGTAGGGCCCACACACACACCCTGCCACTGACAAAAAGCATCTGGAGGAGGGACTAACAGGAATGATTTGCAATCCTTCGTGCCAGCTTGCTGCCTGACTTTCTTTTGAGAGGCTGTAGGGAAGGTTGCAAATGGTGATCACATGACTGAGGAATGATGCAGCTATCTTAAATGTGATCCAATTGCCAAATGCCCACTACAACTTAGAGGACCAGCCATAAATCCTTGTTTAGCACCATAGCTTTGAAGGGCCACACAATGTAGTCATTAAGCAAGGACAATCTGGTATTTTTAATGTACACAAGCAATTGTCTTATAATGAGCCTAAGAAGGAATTCAAATCAAAACTAGAGATCATCCCTTCCACAATTTAAGAGAGGAGAAACATGGCCCCCAAAAAAGATTTATATATTTACATATTTTTATGTATGCATGTATGTATATTCATTCTGCGAGGCAGGAAAAAATGATTGGCAGGAAGAAACTCAAAGCAAAAGAAACTCATAAAATCTAGTAATATTTAATAATATTAATATTATTATATTAAATATTAAATCATTAAATCAATATCTCATTTCTTTGTTTTTATTAAAATGTTCTTTTCTCTAAAAATCATTTCTTGAATCTGTATTATGAAAGCTCCAAACAGTTCATATGTATTTATTGTGCATTCAGCACAATAGTTTGATAATACATAGAGATCATATATCTATAAGACTGCAACAAGTGGAAGTCATTTATAATGTAGGATGTAAGGACTTTAATTTATGCGGTACTATTTTTTAGTATACACTATTATGAAAGATAATTACCTTAGGCAACTATAGTACTGCAACTGAATGCAAAACAAGTCAATTGGCTACATCATGAATGAGTATATAAATCATGTTAAGCTTACAAATGTAGTTTCAGCTTCCATAAGCTGAGCTGCATCCTATTTACATACAGCTAATCAAATAATCTCTTAATAACTGATCTGTCCAAGACTAATTTAAAACATATTATTGCCAGTCAGCATATCCTGTATAGCCTTAAGTGAACTCTACTTCTCTCTGCTTTAGTTATTTATTTTTACTTTAATATTCCAATGTGCAGGCAAACAAGAAGCAAACTAGACCTTCTTTTCATGGAATGGATTTGATTCTATATCTGGGACATCAACGATACTGAAAATGGAATCCTCTGGAGCAAATTTTCCTTCTCAAAAACCTTAATGTTCTAAGTGAAAAAGCTGAGGCATGATCTGGGCATTTTCCAGCTATGAATTTTCAATTTCCTTCCTGCCTATGAAAAAAAACATAGATGATTTTTCTACAACATATCTTTGGCATATGCCAGAAAGATTTTGAATTGTTCAAGGATCAGGAATATAAAATGGCTAGGTCTACAAACATGCATGTTGCCTAAGCCCAAATTAAAACTCATAGTCTCCTATACCTCTTATAGCAATAGCACTTATGTCAGGGGCTTGACAACTTAGACTTATATATCATTTCACAGGGCTTTACAGAGTCAGCATATTGCCCAACAATTATGGTCCTCATTTTACCGACCTTGAAAGGATGGAAGGCTGAGTCAAACTTGAGCCGGTGAGAATCGAACTGCTGGCAGTCGGCAGAATTAGCCTGCAATACTGCATTCTAATCACTGTGCCACCACGGCTCATGGTAATTAATTGTTCCTTGTTTCTAACAAATTCCACATTAAACATATTTATCTCATATTTCCCTGTGCATTTCAAGCTAGTTCTCCATAGTAGAATGTAGTGACAGGTTGTGTATTTTAGTTAGACAGTCTACAATCTAAGCTTTAAGACACTTAGTAACACTTAAGTGGAGGCTATCAAGGCCTGGTTATTTGTTTATGGTCAATTATAAAACATATATTTATATTTTAAATGGCAAACTATTTCTGTATTATTGCAAAGAAAACCATATGTATACAGCTCAACAATTTAGACAAGTTTGAATGTGAGATGAGAAATCCCAAGGTCTGAAGTTCAAGTTCTCAAATTACTAGGAGAGAATACTCTGTTTTCACAATTAGGTCTGAAGATAAAATGGCCAAGTCAAAGCTGAAAAGAATGTGCCAGTATCAGCAGAAGAGTTTCTCAAAGTGCACATAACTGGCACACGGAATATGAAAGCAAGGAAAACTGAAACTGTCAATGTGAAATAAAGCATGATAATTAGATGATTTATAAATAAGTGGCATTTAGATAGATTGAATGAGCCACTTTAAACCAGATAATTATATGATATTCATGATGTCAGACCATACAAAACATGTAAATAGTGAATATTAGTGAATTAGTGAATATCAATGTTACACAATATTTGAACTTGTAACTGCAGTGGTGGAAGACGCTGAAAAATTATATGAGAAATTGCAAAAGATACTAAATGCAACTTCAAGAAAATACCTACTGCTACTAATGGATGGCTGGAATGCAGTATAGAAGAAATGGAGAAACCTGAAGTTTGGACCGGATATCTCAATTAAAGCATATAAAATTATACATGAAAACAACAAAAGAATGAGAATTAAGAAATATTTCAGAACAAAAACAGAGTCAAGGATGGACATTAGCTGTAAGTCTATTAAATGTTTTCAGTGAATATAAGAATGGCAGGATTGGAAGAAATTACAGGCTCAAAACATGAGGTCAAAACATACGCAGAAATCACCACTTTGTAGCTTAATGTTAGAAAAGCTCATTATGTAAGTAAACCAGAAAGTGGAAACTTGGGTTAATGTTAAATATTAAAAGGTAATGTTAACCAGTGTGCTTAGTGAACTTACAATTGACAACCAAGAAATAAGGGGGAAGGGGTGAATTAGGGAGAGAGGATCAATAATTTATAGAACTGGACTGAAATACAGAAGGAATTAGTTGTAGGGAGGGACACAATTACAAGCATAAACAAGATATTGAAGAATAAGTATATTTCTACAACAAAACCATTATAGTAAAAGCACTGGTCTTTCTGGTATCACTATAGTGAAAGCAATGGTCTCTCCAGTAATAATGTACAGCTGTGAAAGCTGGGAATTGAAACCGAACAAGATAGATTCCTCTGAATTATGGCTCTGGAGACGCTTATTAATAATAACATGGATCACAAGAAAAATAAATTAGCCAATCCTGGATCAAATTGATTGCTCCTTTAAGGCAGCGTCAATCAGCAAAAACTCACTCTAATCCTGCAGATGGATGATGGAGTACAAAAGAACTAAAAAAGTAGATAGACAGAATCAAGATTACAGGATTGGCCATAAAACAGCTATGTCATACTACTGCAGACAGATCAAAATGGTTATTATCTAACTATGCAATTATCAGAAGTCAAACCAGACTTGATGGAACCTATCTAATCAATGGTATTCTTCCATGTCGGATACCATTTAGCCATGGCTCTAAGTACAGTATTTGAAAATCTCCTGAGTATTTTTTTTTTTAGAGTAACACTCCTGAGTGTCCTTTTTTCACATACTGCTGCACATCCAAACTGAGCTCCATCTTTACTTTTGTCAATGCACAATTTGTGATTATTTTAGGCATTCGGGTTTTATACATAAAGCAAAATCATTTAAGACATTTTTGCAACAAAATTCTATGCCTTGTCGTAGACATACATCAGAAATAACTATTCAAGTACAGTATTTGGAGCATATTACTTTCTCAATGTTGGCTGTCATATTTTGTGCTCACATTTTATGAAAAATATAAAGAAACAACTCTATAAAGTATACACTTATTGCATGTAAAAGCAATCTTTACAACCAATCTATTCAAATATTATTTTTTATAAACAGACTTACCTTAGACTGGGGTATTTTTTGATTCTTCGTGCTAAATTTTTCTTTCATTTGTTCTAAGCGTTGCTTCACATTTCTTTCTTCAGATGTTCCTAAATATTTTTGGTTAATGTGAAGGTAACAGTGCCACTTTGCTGACTCAAAGCCCCAGTGACAAGTCCTCTTGTCTGGAGATCGATGGGAATGCATCACAAAGGTTTGGGGTGAAAACATCCCATAGCATTCTGAACACTGGATACATGGGGAATCCGGCTGAAGATAAAACTGTGGAGCAAACAAACCCTGACACTTGCCTAAGCATTCATGTTCTACTTCAAAGGCACTTCCACTCTCCTTTAGTTGGGGCAGTGAACTTTTACTATGAAGCAGGCTGCCATTTTGAGGAAAAGTACGAGGGCGCAACAATGCATTGCATAATCTTTGAGCATCGGTCAAAGTGATAAGTCCACAAGAAGGAGCATTAAAGGGCAGAATCCCCAAAACTTTTAAGATGTGAAGCTGATCAGAACTGCATCTAGAACAATAGATGTAAAGTTCATCGCACACTGTGTTAATTTGCTGTAGAGAATAGTCTCTGAGGACAGAATTCAAAACCTGAGGCAAACAAAGTCTCTTTTCTCCTCCAACTTTAAAACAAGATATAGACTCCCCTTCCAGTAAAGTCTGAGTCAACTCTGTAGAACTATCTGATGGGACAAGCAATGGGCCAGGAAGAATCTGAGGCGATGGAAGAGGTACAAAAACAGATGACATGTTTTCTTGTGAATGGCGAGCAGAAAATGCTGCTGGTCCACCAAGGGAACTCTGACTGCTTAAATGGAATTGTGCCAATGTATGTTTCAAACCAGGATTTAAGTTCAAAGGCTCTGATGCTGCAGCAATATTTGGTTTGACATCTTCTTCTCTATCATCCAGAAGACTTTCTTCACATTCATCCAAATGTTCCTTCTTAATTACTGGCAACTTATTTATTACCATTTTGTGTATTTTATCTTTTACATGGATTTCTGTCATGACTTTTTTTGATGGAGGGCTACCATCTTCCTGTGCAACAGTCCCTTTTGATTGATGTCCCAAGATGAAATTTTTCTTTGGAGCTTCCATAGCTAAATTTGAAATAAGTAAATTTGAAATTTGAATAAAGGTAACTATTTCATATCTCAGTTTCCAGTTAACTTAGTTGCAAAACTAATATGGCTTTTTATTTTGAGGTAAATATAAAGAATTACATAAAATTTCTGACATGTAAAACAATATTCTTTCAAAATGACAATGTAAAATGTATAACTCAATATCATACCAAAATAGTTGGCTTTAGATCATTTTGTTTTAAAATGATCCAATGATATAATCCAACATAAAACTGTGATTTAATACAAAATCTACTTTTGAAATTTTCTATTTTTATAGAAATAAAAGATCATATTTCTTTCCATTTGAACCTGAATCACACAAATGCACCTATTCTCATATCCAAAGCATGCCAATTTCAAACTAGACTGAGAGATTAGTTAGATATAGCTTTATGCAAAAGAATTCTAATATTCCCAGTATCAGAAGCAACGCTTTGAGTTTATTGGGCAGAAAAACTGTCTAACAAGAATGACAATTGTTCTTCTAAAACATGGGCGTCAAACACACCACATCACATGACGTATCGCAACATATCATGATTATTATTTTTTTTTTGCATTGCTGCAGCTGGGGTTAGCACAACCTCTGTATGATGCAATTGGCCCAACGGCCAGTAGTTTGACACCCCTGTTCTAAAAGAAAGTCAAACGAAATCTGATCCCAGAGTCCTGGTTTCAACACTATCTATATGTATCTGACCAGGTGACAGCATATTTATACAGAAATAAAGGCCATTGTGAATTCCAATGTTCCAACCACAATACTTAATCAAGACAAGTAAGTTTAAGACGTCAGCATAATTAATTTCTAGAGCTAGTATTTCACAAATATTCATCCATTAGGAAAATCTTAACAAAGGGAAGAAAAATAAGAAATTTATAACTAGGTATAGGTTAAAATCAAAAATACAATATATCCTAAATGGAGATATTATTATTAAAGCACATGAAATACTTACCTAGCAACTGTTCAGGAATGAATATAATTTATACTTTAATATTCTGGAATAAAATATAAAGATTCTAGGTATGTCTTTGAAACTATTTAATTAACAGACTAATACAAAACCTTTATCCTCTTAGAATACAAACAATTTCTCTTGCAAGAAAGATACATGATCTTCCAAAATATTTGTAAAGCACAAATCAGCCATAAAAATAGAGTAGCAGCAAAGAGCAAAATGTGTTCTACTCTCATACTTCCTATTACATTTATTCATCTGTGCATGCTCAAAAAGGACAGTTGCATCCATAAATTCCAGTGATTTCCAGTTCTTGTGTGTCATTTAAAATACAATTTAGGCAACTTGATTACTGTATATCCTGACCTTCTTTCCCTCTGTTTTTAGAGGGAAACCTTTCCCTCTACCTCTACATACAAATACTAACATAACAACAAAATAATGATGCCTACACTTATTTTGAAAGAAAGGAGAACACATGGAAAGCTTCTGCTAAATTTTCTCCTTCCCCAACAAGATATTTTACACTTTCATAAAGCCCTCAATTACTAGTACTTGATTTCAGAACTCATCATAAACATATACATGGTGCCACATTTCCTCAATTTTCTTTTAAAAAATATCTTCTTTCTTCTCTAAATCTTTAATTTTGCTTCAAGGCTGTAGACTTTCTCTGGCTAGAAGCCCACTCCTGTTTCCCCATTTTCATTTGGAATTAATTCTGAGTTCAGAGAGCACCAGAGACTCCAGTTTAATCCTCAGCTACATATATTTGCCTTTTACACTTACACATACAATTAGAAAATAAATTAAAATATTTGTTGTCTACACACAAATTCTTCCTATGTAATGTTTTCTAGGGATCTGGAGAAGAGACCTCAGTCGTCAGCGGTTCAAATCTCACCGGCTCAAGGTTGACTCAGCCTTCCATCCTTCCGGGGTAGGTAAAATGAGGACCCAGATTGTTGGGGGCAATGTAAATATATATATACATTGCTTACTGCTGTACACCGCTTAGAGAGTGCTTGCATTTAAAGCGGTATATAAGTCAAATAAATAAATAAATAAATAAAATAAATTAAAAAAAAAAAAAAGATTAATGATGATGGCAACACTCCAACCATACTCATGCTTACAATTTATTTCTTTAGAATAAAAAAATTCAAAACACTAAAATCATAAGTATATTTTAAAAATACTAAAACTACAGTCAAATATTAAAAATACTATTCTATATTTAGAGCAACTTTGGCCTTTTCCAATCAATGTAAAACTAAAGTTAGATGATCCTCCTATTATGGAAACTTCTGTTGTATACCAGTTGTTGTGCAAAAACAAAAAAACCCCTGTCACTATTGTTTTACATAAAGCAACTCAAACATAATGAGGTTTAAACAATGGAGATTGTATTACAAAACATGAACAGCCAATATTCTTCCAGTTTTCTATTATTCAGCATATTTCTCAAAACCTATCTCCTCAGCTCTAGAGGATCACTCTCTCATAAACTAGTGTAAAAAATGTAAATCATCTCCTATGACTGTGTATGTATTCAACGTACTTTGTCTAAATTTCAAATGCATGCTATAATATATTTCGCTTCTAAACGGAATCATCCAAGCTTCCTACTTACTAGCCATATTCTCCTCCTCACTCAATGAAAAAACCCTGCATTATTTTCCCATAAAAGCAATGAACCCCTCAGAATAATTAAAAAAAGCTCCTTTTATTAATTGCCACACAAGTTCCCATGTTGCAGGAACCTCAATTTCATACAAAATCTTTCTCAAGCTGGGCATTCTAATAATTCATCGCTTATTTTGCACAACCTCTTGTCCTTTCATACAATGACCATGTCCTTAAGAAAGCTATCTGAAGTCTCCGGCGTGGCACTTAAAGCGAGCCTATCCTCTGACAGCAGTTATTTTCAAAGAAACAAGAGTTAGAAAATGGCAGGCAAAGCTTTCCTGAAGGCTGACTTAACCACCAGTCCGCAGATCACAACCACAACTGATCGGCTGAGGGGCTCTAAGGTTTGCTGTCTACCCTTGCCCAAAGAACAAAAGTTGGGCCCAATCCACTGCAAAAATCATATTCTCTGCCTGGAATATCCTTGCACCCGGCAGACATGCCAAGAGGAGCAAAATTTCCCCAGCAGATCCGTTCATCTGAATAACATTACGTGGAGCTGGAAAACGCAACCCCCTCCCCTGCGGGCTTCCCGGGTGGGGTGGTGTAGGAGGGTGGGATGGCCGTCGTTCATCTCATGACCCCCCCCTTCAAATAAATAACCTGCTCGCTCCCTGAGAAAAGCGAGGGACCTCCTCTTTTGTCCCTGACCCACTTCTTTGGGTCCCGAATTTGCTCCACCGCAAATACCACTTGCTGAAGCTACGAAGGTTCCTCCTCCCCCCCCCCACCCGGACCTTTCCTCCAGAAAGCCGCCTCTCCCCCCCCCCCTTTTGTACCCGGGAGGGAGGCTGCTGCTTTCGCGGGCGGAATTCCCCCTCCTTGCCCTGCCTTCAACTCTCCTCCTCCTTCCCCTTTCTTCAGCCAGACGGGCTGGCTCGTCTGCTGCTCCAGACGCTCCTCCCCCGCGGGGGTGAGGAAGGTGAAGTCTAGCAGTGGAGGCGGGGAGGGCGACGCCGCCGCCGCCGCCGTCGCACGGGGCTGGGAGCCTGAAAGCTGCCCCTTCAGCCCCTGCCCCCCCCTCTGTCTCTCACTCCCCCCCACAGGATGATGACCCGAGGAGGCCCCTTCCCCTCCCAGGAAGCTCTAATCGTCCTCTCAACCCTGCTTCCCACCCCACAGCGGCGGTCCCAAACCCACTCCCGGACTCTCCCTCCCTCCCTCTGCTCCTGCCTCCAAGCCCCGGGCGATCTAGGCCAGCCTTCCCTAACTCCGAGCCCTCTCCCCGCGGAGCGGCTGGATTACAACTCCCATCTTCCTTCTCCTCCCTCCACCCGATCCGGGGAACACCGGCGTCGCGGCTTAGGGTCAGGTGTGGGGGGGAGACGAGTCCTGACTCTACGTTCCTCCCCGCCCCACTGTAAGCCCCCTCCCGGGGCGGGGGGTGAGTCCTCATCTCTCTCCCCTCCCCGCCGTTCCATTACCTCAGTGTAACCTACCCACCTCACACGCGCTCCCCCCCACTCCGCTCGCTCTCTCGCTCTTTTTTTCACAGACTCCCTTCCCCCACCCCCAGGGAAACGTCCTCTCCTTACCGCACATCTCAGCGGGCGCCCCGGTTCTTCCCCAACAGTGGAAGGGAAGCGGCTGCCGCCGCCGACGTACCGCCCACCCGTGACCTCACTGCGGAGACAGAGGAGGAGGAAGAGGGTGGAAAAGCCGCCGTGACGGCGGCGGCGGCGGCGCACGGGCAGGAATCCGCCCGGCTCGCGCGTCGCGCCAAGCCCCGCCCCTGTCTGGGCCAGGCGGCGCCGGCGCTGCGGCGCGTGTGTGTCTGTGAAGAGACGTCATCCTGCTCCCCCCCTCCCCGCCTTGGAGGCGAGCGAGGGAACCCCGTCTGCTGCGCCGTTTAAACGCCATTCGGCTCCTTCCACGCGTGGGCCAGACCGCGACATGGGGGGGAGGTCATTAGATCCCCAACCCCGTTAAGGTGCAGTGCCTGGGGCCACGTGATTTCCCGGCATCTCTCCCGCCCCAACCTGGTACGATCCCGAGCCGACCTTGGTTGACCTCGAAAACCTGAGCCGGGTCTGCTCGCGGCAGTGCTGGGAGAGGAGACCACCAGGAAATCCCAGGCTTTAGGCTGCCAGGGAGATGGAAAAAAGTATTATATGGCAGACACTTCCGTATTACTGCAAGGTATGCCAGCCATAAGTCTTCCAGATCTAAGGTGGCTGGAAAAACCACCTTTCCGCTGCCTCAACTCCCTTGGCTCCCATCTCGTCCTCCCCACAATCTCTTCCTCCCCGAGTCACATATCGTGTTTACGAGTGCACAGCCTCTCTGCCTTCGTGGGGTCGTCTCAGAAGAGCAAGCCCCGGGGCGAGAGTGTCGCAGAGTTTTTGCACGGTACTCCCTGCAAGGTGTGGGTGTGCAAAATGAGTTTCGTTTCACGATAAAAGGAGGCCTCTTGCGGAGGGGGGGGGGCAGACTGATCTTACGTGGTATTTGTGCACCAGAGAAACTAGCCCCCTCCAGATTTTCCGGGACTTTAGATCCCAGGATTTACGAACCTATAAATCTCGGCATTTTGGCTTAGAGTGGGTTTGGTGATTCCAGCAATGGGAGTCTAAATGCTAATTACTGGCCAGGAATTCTGGAAGTTGCAGTTCTGGCACATCTGGAGTTCATCTGATTGGGAAAAGCTAAACCAGGCTCTCTACTGCCATTTAGAAAATGAAACGTTCCTGCAATTAATTGCTTAAAGCAGAAAATCCAAATGATGACTTCCCCTCCCACTTCCATTACCTAAAGGTATCAGACTTCCCTCTGGATTGTGTTGTGACTCAGATGTCATTGGATGAGGAATGTACATTATCTTGTGATAAACTGTCTTGATGTGTTTGTTTTTAGGTTGTCTGGTCAAAAGCCCCATTATTCTCTTTGGTGTAGTTTGCAATCACCCTTGAACCCAGAGTTTCTGAACCACAGCAACTAGCCAGGGTTTCTGGAAACTGAAGCCCACACATCTTAAAGTAGCTGAGATCGACAAACCATGTTTAACTTCTTCATATATATTCTGACAATAAAGTTGGAACTTACTAGTAACAAGTTTTATTTTTTCACATTATAATATCGCTTTCCATCAAAGCTGTTATAATCAGACAAAGTTTATATGGCAAAACTTTTTAATATGGGGAAGGGTCATTGTTAGCCAGTTTTCTCTCTTTTAGGGATACTTCCTGTATATTTCTCAAAATCTGTGTAACCTCCAATCACAAATGTATGGGTCCACGTAACCCAGGAATTTCAAGGAATGCACAATCTGTGGTGTGCCTTCAAGTCAGTTTTGACTCTTAGTGACTACCTAGACTAGTCAGTTTCCTTGGGAAACTATTTTTAGAAGTGGTTTGCCCGGACTTCTTTTTAAACTGACAGTGACTGGCCCAAGGTTACCCAGTTAGCTTCATGCCTAAAACTCAAAAGTCTAAATTACTAAGGCAGAATGATTAAAACAAGATGCAGTGTGTATCCTAAGCAAAAATAACACATGTCTGAATTAAGAATCCAGTCCTCTAAATTCTGATAAGGATGAAAACAAAGGAAAGAGAGAGGCAACACATTTGAATTTGAAGAAATACAATTTCAATGAATTCAGTATTGTCTGAATTTACAAGGCTCACTGAAAAAGAAATTAATGTGCTGTGTTAACTCTACTGGTGCAAACAAGTAAGTTGCTAAAGACACATTAAGATCATTCTAAAATAGAAACAATTATGATCAGTCACAATTTGTACAGAAGTGATTTGCTGAGTAAAGCATAATGAGCTTTTGGATAGCAGATAGCATGGAGAAACATTGACACTCGGTATATAACTTTTATAAGAAAATATATAATATATATTTATGTAATATTTATACTTTTGTTTATATTTATAATGTATGTTTAATATTACACACACACAAATATATATATATATACATACATTAATAATGTAATGATATAACAGTAATTTAATTTATAATTACTATAGTATATTATATATTTGTAAATAGATAAAAATTAAGAAAATCCTATAGGGTAAATATATACTTCTGTAGTATGGCCTCATTCTTTACCAACAGAAAGCAAGCAAAGAAGCTTCACAAGGCAGAACAGTCAGGCAAAATAAGCAAGCTGAATGGAAAGAGGAAGAAAATGATGAAAGCTCTAAAAATTCCCGTTGTACTAATAAGGGATATGTTAAATAGTAATATGTAAACTAAGTCATTCAAAAAAAGGAAATGTAATGCTCTGCTAACTACCTGTTTCAATTGGCCCTGGTGATAGTAAATTGATCAGTGCAAACAGCCATTGCTTGCAAAATTGAATTTCCCACACAGACTATCTCAGGGGTGTCAAACTTCCGGCCCGCGACCCGAATGAGTCATGGCAAAACTGCACCCATCCCATTGTTGGCCATTGAAAAAAAGTCAGGATACATCGCGACATGTCACATGTCGATTTTGACACCCCTGGACTATCTGCTCAGCCATAAAGCATTGCTTTCAAATCACAATGGCTAGGTTCACATCTCACACTACACTTACTCAAAGCAGACGGACAACATGGTGGAATATTATGGCTAATAGATTCATATTATGACTAATACGAATCTTAATGTTAAGTTAGTTAGATGTGCAATTGTCAACTGGATTCATCTAAGATGAAATTCAGATCACTTGGTAAGAGAACAGAGAAGTGCATAAGAAACAATAGAAAATGAATTCCAATAAGACTGGAATGGCAACGAGAAATACAGAGGATTTCTTGCAAAGTATCTTGCAGGAAGTAGCTTAATAATAATCTCTTAAACTTCATCAGGTACCAGATGTGTTCAAGGTAGTCCTTGAATACAACCATTCGTTTAGTGACTGCTTGTGATTGCAACAGCACTGAAAAAAAGTGAGTTATGACTGTTTTTCACACTTATGACCATTGCAGCATCTTCATGGTCATTAGCATTAACGTTAGATCCTTCTATGCCAGTGGTTCTCAATCTGTGGGTCGGGACCCCATTTGGGGTCGAACAACCATTTCACGGGGGTCGCCAAACAACACAGTCCGCCATTTTTTTCCCCTTTTCCTTAGCTGTGCTTTTGAAAGCCAATAGAATAGAGTCTCTTGAATAGAGTCTAATTCTATTGGCTTTCAAAAGCCAATAGGAATTGTCCAGGCTGTCTCTGCCCTGCTGAGCCTGCCAAAAGTCCCATTCTGCAAACGGTGCTGCACCAGTTGAGTAGTCCTCGACTTACAACCAGTTGAGTAGTCCTCGACTTACGACCGGTTGGGGGGGGGTCGCGGCAGTAAAAAGGTTGAGAACCACTGTTCTATGCTATGTAGCATATTGGGCATCAAGGGATCTCCAGCCCTTTCGGTTTTGGGTGAGAATTTCAGCATCTTCCCATGTAATATTTAAAATCTTTTAAGTCTTCTATCCCCCATGGTCACATGATCAAAATTCAGATGCTTGGGAACTGGCTCATTTATGATGGATGCAGTGTCCCAGGATCATGTGATCATCTTTTGCGACCTGACAAGCAAAATCAATGGGGAAGCCAGATTCACTTAATAACCCTGTTACTAACTTAACAACTGCAGTGATTCACTTAACAGATGCATCAAGAAAGGTCATAAAATGGGGCAAAACTCAACTGTTTCACTTATCAATGGAAATTTTGGGCTTTCAAGGACCAACTTTATTATGTTCTAATTTAAAAAAAAAACCAACCCCCCCCCCCCAAGCTTCTTCTCTCAAGAGCCTTGGGTGGTGAGCTTAATTTAAGACATTTAGACTGGGAATGAGCAAAGGAAAAAGGATGGTGGAAGCAATGTAATTTATATAATCAGAACACCAAATCCACAACTTTCATTACCTCCAGAAGATTGCTAGCAAAGTTGTAAAGCTCTGAGTTCTCATACAAGATAAAATAAAATAAATGTAACAAGTTCTTTTAAGGAGCTTTCTATGTGGCAGTGTGAAAATTCCATAGGGCAATTTTAAGGTCTCTTTATAGCTCACCTTTCACATTTTTTAATGTGGTTTTTGATAGGTGATGTCTCTTTCACCCACACATGAAGGAAAAAGTGAGATAACTGATCTGCATTTTTAATACACAAGTGAAAATTGCTCTCCCAAATTGCTTCACGTTGAAAAGAAAGGTGTTGACTAGGGTTGTACAAAAAAATTAAAAATAACCTTCCTGTCAAACTGGTTAACACACACACCAAGCCTGTTTTTCAAACTGCTAAAATGGATTCAGAATTTTATCACACTGTTTTATGAATTAATTTTTCGTGCCCATTGTAAACATCTGTCATACGAAAAAAAAAAGATGTGATTTCCTACATTAACCGAGTACATAATTAAAACATAAGGGCAGAAAGAAAAATGTCTCTTAAAAATTCATAATCTATGAAAAGTGGTTTCATTTTAAATAGTTTGTAACTGCTCAATAATGATTTTTTTATTTTATTTGTTCATTCAATATTTATAACCAATTTTTCTTCAGTTCCTAGCAGATGGGTGAGGTACTAACACTCAAATATATTATTAATCCACACCTAATAGATACTGTTTCCCCGAAAATAAAATATACCTCAAAAATAAGCCCTAGCTGGATTTTTGGGAGGGTGGGCCTTATATAAGCCCCACCCCAAAACTAAGCCCTACTTATTTGCTAAGACATGAGGTGAGGTGGGGGAGCTGCCCCACACACCCGCTTATGCTGCAGGGGTTGTGCAGCTGCCGCAAGGCACATCACGTCACTGTTGCCGTCGCTGAAAGGTGCATCCCACCATTGCTGCTGTGAGGTGCATCGTACCACTGTTCCAAGGTGTGTCGTGCTGCTGTTGCTGCTGCCTTGGGGTGCATCATGCTGCCACAAGATGCATCCTGCTGCCGTGAGGTGTGTTGCACCATTGCCACCGCCACTGCGAGGTGCATCCCGCTGTTCCTGCCACTGCCATGAGGTGCATCATGGGACACACCTCAGCGCGGCAGCAATGGAAGCAGGACATATTTTGCAGCGGCGGCAGCTGGAGCACAACGGGCCTCTTAGTAGCGGCAGCAGGAGCCTTGCAGCATGGTAAGTGGGTGCTGGGGACATGGGGCAGCTCCTGGAAAAAAAATAAGACATCCCCCGAAAATAAGATCCAATGCATTTTTACTGAATGTGTCTTTAAAGGAATTTCTGAACATTGTGCTTGAAAAACCTACGAACAAAAAAGACCTTTGAATGTAGAAATCAGTTTTCTTGCCAAGTGCAATTCTTGCTATCCATTTGTTATCACATCTTCCTTCTCTGTTTCCTGGCAAAATTTTAACGAAAACCAGGGTTTATTATTAAGAAAGGGAAGTTATTCTAAATTTTACCTATTATTAACAGTATGGTTACCAAGAAATAGCATCATGTGTTTACAAATAAGGATCATTACAGCAACCATACAAAGCAATTTTCAGCTCGCTACTATTAATACCTTACCAGCTGTAGAGTAGGCATGTATTGTAGAGGTCAGAAGGAATGACCTCAAAGGAGAGCCTTCTCACAAACAAACTTTGAAAGATGAGTTAAATGATAGACAGTTCCGTCTTTAGTCACAGGCAATGGTTTATCACAGAAGCATCACCAGTGCCATGAAATAACATAGGATGTTACTTGCTGCATTTTGTAAACTCTCTCCTCCCAGTAATACCTGAAAAGTGTTAGTGGAGATAATGAATACAGTTATAAATGCTTGACTGCTTTCCTTAGACTTACAACCAAGCCTAAATTCTGTTTTTGCAGTTTTCTTAAAAATCCATCTCTTTTCAAGCCATCCATTGTACCATAAAATTTCTCCACTGTTACTGTAATTCCCTTTCAGAGCTCAGTTGTACACACCCCGTGTTCCCCATCCTGCAGTCTATTTAAATACAATGTTGTATTCAGTTTTTAGTGGTTAATGCATAGGCATTTTATTACATACTTCACTGTTCTGTATTCTTCTCTTTTCCTTGGTGCATAGTTCTCACTTCTGTACAAAATAAATTTCTCACACGCCACGAGTGATGTAGCATGCGCTTTCTCTTAATGAAGCATACTTTAACACATTAGTTGTCAGTATGAAAGCTCTGTGTGGTGTTGGCAACCTTTATAGTACCTCTAAGGGAACAAGGAGCAGATTTGCTATTGGCACTTTCTAAGTCCTCCCCCTGTCCCCAAAACATCTAAGGGAACAAGGAGCAGATTTGCTATTGGCACTTTCTAAGTCCTCCCCCTGTCCCCAAAACATAAAACTCAAGTGCAAAAACAGTACTTTGGAACAAAGTTAACCTTCAAATAAAGCTGTTGTTAATTAATGAAGGGAATATGGGATTTGCAGCTTCAACCAACCAGAGAATATAGCAATGGAATTTATATCCTGCACTGGTGTAACAACCACCCAACTTATCATTGTTTACTCCTCTGCCAAATGAAGGAATGTAGCTGTGAGTAAGCATGAGTTCTCTGTTTATCTTAGTTAGGTGGGGCATTTACTATTAGGCTGGCCCACTGAGTTTCTCACTGCATCATATCCTACAATGCAATGGACTGTTGTCAACAAATGAGGACTCTCTTTTGCAATTTGAGTAGCTCCCCGAATAAGGTTGCTACGCTATTGATGAATCAGAAAAAAACCAAAAATATAAATGCCAGTGGACACCATCAGATGCCTCTTTATTCCTTCCATGCTGGGTTTTTGGTTACTGCATAAGAGATAGACAGACATGGATGGGATTATTCTGAAGTGGGTGATTATCCTGTCTGCATTCCAGGGCAATACACATCACTAATGTCTGCCTCTTGCCAGAGAAAGCAAAATTAATGGTAAGCAAAAGACAATGTTTATGCTACTTTTACATGAAAAGTAGCAAACATAGTCAGTCATTCAAAGGGTGTTTGAGAAAAAGAGAAGGACAAATTGCAACATAGTATATAAACAAAAGCCCTGCTTTTTTTATTTTGAAACTTAAAAATGACAGTTTAAAAAGTATGTAGAAATTTCAGGAGATGGTTACACAAATATCAAAGGCAACAAAAGAAGGAAACTCACAACAGAACAGAACTAGTTCAGGGAAAACATCCACCAACACAGTTTTTATACAAAACCGTTACATCCCATCATGCTGTACTAGCTGTTCATATCTGAACTCCTAGTTCAATTATTTTAAAATAGCTTCTACATTTTAATAAAAAGGTTTAAAAATTAACACTTTAATATCATGGCATTTACCTGAAACAAATATGAAAACAAAAACCCTCAAAAATACATTTATTTTAATACTCAAATCTTAAAAGTTGACATCCCAAAATGAAACATATACTACACATGTACACAGACAGACACATTTACAGGATGAGAATGGAAGCAACTCTGTCCGTAAGTGCATCAATTTTGTGCTTGAAATTCTTGAATGTTAAAAATTTTATTCTAGAATTGTGCAAGTCAGACAAAGTACTTCTGGTAGAAAAACATTTTGTACCGAGGCCACTGTAAGTAGCCTAATTTTATTTGCTGTAATGAAGAAATCTGAAAAGGAAGTGCGAAGGAGTCAAGCATTTAAATTTATGCCAAGGAAATAATTGCTGCCGCCCTCAAAAGATTGCCAAAGATAACTTACCAGATCTAAAACTTGCCAGGACTAAAAAGGTGTTTAGATGTACCCTGAGTATGATACAGCTTGTTAGCATTATAATGAAAGTAGAAGAATGAGCTAGTGTTTTTATTTGAATAATACAAAATAATTCATATTATTCAAATAACCAAATTTCCCTCCATACAGCAAAAAGACTTCTGAGGATTTAACTGGGACATCTGTCACCCCATTGACTGCCAGACTGATTTGGCTGATGTGACTATTTGGGTGCCCCCTTTCTCTCTCATTGTTTCTCCTGATTCGTATTATAGAACACTAAACATGATATATCAATCAGAATAGAGTTGGAAGAGGCCTTGGAGGTCTTCTAGTCCAACCCCCTGCTCAAGCAGGAGACCCTATACCAGTGATGGCGAACCTTTTAGAGATCGCCCAAACTACAACCCAAAACCCACTTATTTATCAAGGGGTACCAGGTGGGCGTGGCCCACTGGGTGGGCGTGGCTGTGGTGGTCATGGCAGATTGGGTTGATGTGGCTAAGGTGGGCGTGATCACCTCGATGTTGCTCGTGGGGAGGGACATCTATGGGGGCCGGGCAGGGTTGGGGGAGATCCAGGGAGTCTCTGGCAGGTGGGGTGGTGGGCAGGAAGCTTGTCCTGTGGGTGAGGTGAGGCGAGGCAAGGCAGGGCGGGAGTGCCATCGTCACAGGGAAAGGTGAGGCAGGGGCCGGGCGGCTGTTGCCTGACACCATTGGCCCCCGCACACAGAGAGCACATGAGTTCTGGGATGTATCCGGCCATGTGGAATCTCGGCCAGTTAACGGGCAGCTGGCGCATGTGCCCACAGAGGGCTCTAAATGCCGCCTCTGGCACGCATGCCATAGGTTCGCCACCACTGCCCTATACCATTTCAGACAGATGGCTGTCCAGTCTTTTCTTAAAAACCTCCAGTAATGAAGCACCTACAACTTCTGAAGACAAGCTATTCCATTGGTTAATTGTCCTCACTGTTAGGAAGTTTCTCCTTAATTCCAGATTGCTTCTCTCCTTGATCAGTTTCCACCCAATATATATATATATATATATATATATATTATATATATATATATATATTATATATATATATATATATATATATATATATATATTGATTGTTTTATATATTTTGCTTTGGATTTCATTAACCCTGAAATTAGCTGGAGTATACTAGCTTTTTAAAAACATTGTGTAAGTAATTAGTGGTACCCATTAAGATTATAAAATAGCCACTGAGACTTACTTTTGGAACATTATCTACCTATTTCTCCTCAAAAAGACAGAACTGATTTTTTTTTTTGCTTAAATTAGCTTTATACTATCAAAAAGCTGAGGAAGGCACTCATTTATATAGCATAAGTTATCAAAAGATTTCACTAAAAATTAAAAGCAATGAAGTACATGTGCTTAATAAGAAAATTCTCTTTTACAACAGGACCATTAATGTCATTGCATCTATTATCCATGGTTCTAGCACTGTTACAGGAAATGCTGTACCACTTTTAGTCTGCAGAATGAAGGCTTCATTCATAATTCTTAAGGGATACAGATAATAACTATACATAAGATGTTTCAAAGTCCCAAATGCAACAAGAGAGTAATACCAGGAAGGTTTAATCAGAAGCACATCCCACCAAATTCAATGGGTCTCAATAACAAAGTCAATTCACAGTAAATTCAGAATGTTTACAGAATGAAAGCAGCTTTTAATACTATCTGTAAGCCCCTATCTTGTTTGGACATAACATTTAGTACACTCAGTATGGGGATATTTCTTACTTTGCAATTTATTTTTAATTAGAGTTTTCAAAATTAATTTGGTAGCTTAATTTGGACAATGTAGTAAGTAAAGATAGAGGGAGGAAAAAAAGATGCAGTCTTATGAAATACCTCTAAATCTAGTTGTCAGAAAACCACACTTTATGTACAATTTGCTAAACATCACTTAATGTAACAGCAAATCTATAAAACACAAACTAGCATTACATGTGAAGCAGAAACATCTGGCAAAATCTTTTATTTCATATTAGACAACTTTTGGCCAGAACAATGGTCTTGTCTTAAACTCCAATTTTGGTATAATTGTTACTATTCTTTTGTTTCCTTTTATATCAATGAAAAAGTATTCCACTTACAGCAAGTTAATGATATGTTACGATAAAGTTCATGCGAGATGACAAATGCATTGGATCCATTGCTTCCCAACAGAAACATTTTTCACCCGTGCAGGAAAAACATATATAAAAAAGATGGCACAGATTACACGTAGGAGATCAGACACATTCTTCGGCTGACATCAGAAGGGGATTGATATATTCAAATCCTTCAAACTCGGACTGATCAATCTTCTTTACAATATCACTGAAAATATGAATAAGGATACCAAAATTAAGTTTCTACTCCAAAAATAAAAGACAGGTAGTCCTCATTTTAAGACTAGTTGCTTAGTGACAGTTGGAAGTTATAATGGACCTTCCCAGGACTGCTTATGACTGAGATTTGAAGTTCCAAAGGCCACTCCCCTATGGTCACATGACTGCATTTTGAACGCTCCGCAGCCAGGCCATGTTTACAGCCCTTTGCCTTGTCCTGGAGCCACATGATCATGATTTATGACTTGGGCGGACAGAAATTGGCATCTGCTTCGGGTTTCCAGCAAAAATTGCTCATTGTTAACAGGGAGAGATTCAGATAATAAAATCCTTGAATGGACATGTTGGGCTGAACATTTCACCATCGTTCTGCATCACTCCTCCTAAACATGCACCTGCAGAAATACAGACTACAGGCTGTTTTGTTTTTAACTGAGATCCACCTCCATCCTGTTGAATGGATCTCAATGTTCTCGCAGTGTAGGGGGAGGAGTTAAAGAGGAGGCGTTAAAGAAGCATCAGTTTAGAATCCTGACGTGGTCACAAGTGAACTTTTATCTACAACCTTTATCTAGTTCTAGCCAGGTGTTAACTGTTAGTCTGAGAAGATTCCTGTACATAGGCTTTAACAATAAATCAGTAATTTGAAACTTTTGTTTGTGGACCTGTTTTTTTTCTGCCTGACAGAAAGGGCTTCAAAACCTAATTCTGCTGACTGGCTTGGTTCCCCCAATGATTGCTGGATGTGCCTAATGGACTAAAAAGAAGATCCCTTCTTTGGTTCCTAGTGTTATTCAATCATTGTTAATGTTAATGTTTTTTATATTTCTATATTCTTGCTTTTATTGCTGTAAGGTGCCAAGATTCAAGATGGGTGCAGCGTATAAATTTAAATGATAATAATAATAATAATAATTATCCTTTAAAAATATAGCAAAGTGTGTTTTCTTTAATCTTTCCTTAATTAATGCTTAATTAAAAATGTATAACCCTTGAAATATAACAATGCTCAAGAAATGCCAGCTTTATTAACTATTTATTAACTCTAGTGCAAAAGTCCTGTTTCCTTTCTATATTAGTTTTCTATGTATTTCTTGTTTCAGATATCCAAAAACAGTCAAATTTACTTTGTGGCAGAAATGGAAGGTTTCACTGCTACCAGTTAATCAATTTCTAGTTAAAAATTGCTTGGTAGCTTTTTGCTATAATCTGCAATACCTGAAGAACTTTGACATGAAGAGAACCTGCAGGTTTTACTATTGGTAAGCATTTTCTAATTTGCACCAAGTGACTCGGTTACTTCATTGATAGGGCAAATGCGGAAACACTAGGATCAATTTGTGGCATCTTCACCTGGAATGACAAGCTGCTGATCCTCAACCAAAAGAGTGCATGAAGTGATGCCAGATAATTTTGGACATGTTTCAGTTTCTAATACTAAATTATCAGAAGAGGTTAGATCAGCCCCATTGACCTTAAATTTCATAAATTAATGTAACTAGACTTTTATTCTCCAATTTATCACCAGACTTTCTATTCATTACATTAAGAAAGTCATTTCTGAAGAAGAATGGTCCATCTTCAATCAGACCACGGATCTATCATAGGAGCTCACTGGCTTGGTGGTGACAATCAGCAAGCCTGTGTTTGAGACCCGGGAAGATGGGGTGAGCTCATCACTCTCTCCAGCTTCTGCCAACCTAGCAGTTTGAAAGTGGGCAACTGCAAGTAGCTAGATAAGTACCACTTTGTTAGGCAACTTAATGGGGACATGAAAGGAGCCCCAGCCAGGCATCTCCAGACAACGGTGATTTCACCGCTAAATCTTTTCATCATGGAAGCACTACAGTGTTCCTGACACAAATGTAGTAGTCGTATGGAGCTATCAAATAACCTGCTTCTAAGTGGTCAATCATATCACGACACAAAGGTATAACCTCAAACTGACAGGAAGTAAGTTCAAAAGTAATGTTAGAAAGTATGACTTCACAGAAAGAGTAATGGAATCTTGGGACCAACTTCCAGAGAAGATAGAGGGTCAATCATCAGTAATTGAGTTTAAAGTTGCTTGGGATAAACACATGTCTATCATCCGACAAAAAATTAAAAATAAAATAAAAAATAATAAAAAATAATTATTGAAAATAATAAACAAACAAACTAAATAAATTCAAAAGGCAGACTTGATGGACTTCTAGGTCTTTTTCTGCTGTGAATTTTCTATGTTTCTGTATCATTCAAGATAATAATAATATACCATTTCGGACAAATGGCTGTCCAGTCTCTTCTTAAAACTTCCAGTGTTGGAACATTCACCGCTTCTGGAGGCAGGTTGTTAATTGTTCTAACTGTCAGGAAGTTTCTCCTTAGTTCTAGGTTCCTTCTCTCCTTGATTAGTTTCCACCCGTTGCTTCTTGTCCTGCCTTCAGGCGCTTTGGAAAATAGCTTGACCCCCTCTTCTTTGTGGCAGCCCCTGAGATATCAGAAGACTGCTATCATGTCCCCCCTCATCCTTCTCTTCGTTAAACTAGACATACCCAATTCCAGCAACCATTCCTCATATGTTTTAGCCTCCAGTCCCCTAATCATCTTTGTTGCTCTTCTCTGTACTCTTTCTAGAGTCTCAACATCTTTTTTACGTCATGGTGACCAAAACTGGATGCAGTATTCCAAGTGTGGCCTTACCAAGACATTGTAAAGTGGTATTAATACTTCATGTGATCTTGATTCTATCCCTCTGTTAATGCAGCCCAGCACTGTATTGGCTTTTTTGGCAGCTGCAGCACACTGCTGGCTCATATTTAAATGATTGTCCACTAGGACTCCGAGATCCCACTTACAGTTACTACTATTGAACAAGGTACCCCCTACCTGTACATTTGGTTTTTCTTGCCTAAATGTAGAACCTTGCTTTTTTCACTACTGGATTTCATTTTGTTAGATAGTACCCGTAACCAGTGAAGGTATCTGCCTCAACCAACATTCAAACTTTATGGCTATGAAGGTTATACATAGCTCTCTTACACTACACAGAATATGGTTTCACGACAGCTGCTAGGTTTACAAGAGTATTTTTTTCTGACATAATTCACTTCAGAAATCATTTACTTACTCGTCATCAGGTGTGAGTTGTACAGGTTCATTGGTAAACTGGGAATCAAAGTTGTCCAGACCAAATTCTCCAGAAATATTTGGTTTAAATGGAGGAACAACTTGTTTTTGTTCCATCTAGGAATAAAGCATTCAGCATTAAAACATAGCTTTTTTATATAAATAATGGGTAATATTTCCAAGATTGAGAAAGTTTTATCTGATCTTTAATTTTATCATTTCCTTGACTGCTTCACAAATTTAACTCAGATTCTTACTTACGGTGGTATGTTATGACAAAACCTCTGATTTGGATTGAATTTTGAATTTGATTGTGCTTTTGAATTATGCAAATAAGCAATACACTCAGAATCCTTAGGTCTTAATTTAAAGAAGTGCAAATTCCAGAGGAAAGAATATTTTCCAATATTTTCAGAAAAACAAGCCATTTCGAAGAAATGAAAATAGTTTAAAAACTTTACAAATCTAAACTTGTCCTGATACTTCAGAAACATAAAATATATCATGTATAATTTTATTTTTCACATGCTTGGTATATTAAAATATTTTCAGGTTTGGTTGGCAAATAATTTTATTGCAAAATATCTAATTATTAAGATTCAAACACATGAAAATGTGATATAATAGCTAAAATAGAAACTCATGCTTATCTTTCAATATGGAGCTTTTTCAGTTTCTTTGGGCAGCAGTACTCATTTGTGGATTTTAAAAATTGATTTACATTCCCAAGAATGTAAATTCTTCCAAGTCTTCCAAGACTTTTAGTCCTTCTCTATACTCTTAAGCAAACAGGACAAATTATTCCTTATTTCTAATTTAAACTCTAAAAAGTACTGCTACCCAACCAACTGTACATTAGGCCTTCTAAGAGCGGGAGATCTATCAGCCTTTCCAAATGTAAACCAGAAAGCCACAAGCAAAGAAAGCATGGTATTTTCCTTCCTTGCTTGTAGAATGGATCATGCTTCTGATAGCAGAAGGGTTATGTAGTGCACAGATTTCAGAAATGATTTTGAAAAGCTAAACTTTTAATCTTTTGTCATAGTTACTTTATTCAGTGTTAAAAAAGACAGTATTTCTTAATTCTTTTAAAAATCTAAGCAGCCCCACGTACCAAATTTCTCCCCCCTGAATTTGTTTTTACCTCAGATTCTTACATAAAAGAGTTGCATGAATCTTACTGAGTTCTACAAAGAGCAATTATATGGAGAAATCTCAAAGTGTTTAACAACTTTGTCCTATCAATATTAGAAACTGACTGATTTAATTATACTACGAAGATCCACTGTACCTGAAACTTTTAAATGCAGTATTTACACAGATACTTACCAGATCCCAATCAACATTACGGAAAAATGGATGTCCTTGAATGTCTGCAAAGCCTGTTTGAGGATGGCATCCTAAACGTTCTTTTGGATCCTATGAATAAAAAAAAAGCATATGTTTGAATAATAAAAGCTATATGAATAATTTTGAAGTGGATACATAGGACTCCTGCATAGCTATGACCAGATCCATTTAACTTTTAGCAAACCTATAGCATCACGTGCTGTCACATAGACAATGCCCTGAATGACAACTTTATTTTTTGCTTTTTTTATGCTAAAGCTTGACAGCTGGAACATCTCTATCATTTAATCGCAGATTAAATTATGTCTCAATTATAAGCCTATCATGTAAAGCAGGGGTGTCAAACTGCTGGCCTGTGGGCCGGTTTCATCATTATCGGAGCCGCGCCCACCCCATTGCCAGCAATGGCAAAAAAGCTCCGCAATGTCACGTGACGTTGCAAGTTTGACATGCCTGATGTAAAGGCAAATTCATTTAGTTTACAGCTGTTACCCCATGTCATCTTTGTACTTGCATTTTTAGCTAAGTAATGTTCCTTTTAAAACAATCTAGAAAAATTACAATTTCTGCAAAGGGGAGATCTTGTATAGCTTTTCGTTATGCTTTTATGAATGATATAAATGATAGATGTCTGATTTTTTTTAGCTTCAATGTCTTCTTTTAAAACTATTCACTTTTAGTGCTAACCCAATAATTAATTACTAATTTATGTAAAAGTGTATCAATTTAGGAAACTGTACAAATACCCAGAGACCTTGAACCTCCATCCCATAAGTCAGTGTTTCCCAAACTTGACAATTTTAAGGCATGAGGACTTCAACTCCCAGAATTCCACAGCCAGCAACTGGGAGTTGAAGTCCTCATGCCTTAAAATTGTCAAGTTTGGGAAACACTGCCATAAGTCTACCTGTATACACCAGCCATTCCCACTTGACCTGCCTATCTCTTCTCTAAAATACTGTATTTCTCCTGCACCGAGAAATAGGTGATGTTATCAAAATGTTTATGGAGGCCTCCCTAATTGATCCCTTGCCTAGAGAAATAATTAAAAACTAAGATCAAAGAGAAATTTCTTCCTTTGGCAACAGCATGCAGAAGAAACAAGCTTTCTACTTGACACCATTAAACACAAATCACTCACGCAAGGTCAAGCATCATTGTCAGTTGGGCTCTAAGTAGCCAGAAGAACTAAAGCTAAAGTCTTACCTATGCTTGAATTGGGAGCAAATTCCACCAGTGAGTTTTGCCTGCACGTAAACCCAGACTAAAATAAAATGAAAACTCTGGGCAAATACTTTTAAGCTGCTCTAGTAACAAAATGGCTTTGATCATTCTAAAAACTTCTTTCTCAACATTGTAACTGCAAGATGTATATTTCAAATTATATATGGCACAAACTCTCACCTTGTTTAAAAAGCTTTTTAGAACACTTGCTGCCTTCACAGAAAGGGACCGTGGGATACGGATTTGCTTCTCCAGAATAACTAGAAGAAATAATTAGGGGCACTGAAAATTCATAAATTAGCAATCTCAACATATGTCTGGGGATTGCAAACCAAATGCCCTTCAAACTGAGTATAATTTCTGGTGACCTCATGGACACAACTTGTAGGGATTTTTCAGCAATAATATGAAAGAGGGTTTCCACTGCCTTCTTTCAAAGAGACAGTAGTGTAATCTTTCCTATCTATTTATTCTGCTAAACCAGGGGTAGGCAACCTTGGGTCTTTTATGACTCGTGGACTTCAACTCCCAGAATTCCTGAGCCAGCCATGCTGAGGGAAAAAAAGGAAGAGTTTCCATGCTGGCTCAGGAATTCTGGGAGTTGAAATCCACGAGTCATAAAAAGAGCCAAGGTTGCCCACCCATGTGCTAAACCAAACAATTTTTTAATGCCACACAATATCTTTTTGTTAATTATTAATTAATTTCTATGTAGCTATCTATGGAATACAGTTTTTTCCTAGCAACAAATAATTTACTTACATCGCCTATGGTGTATTAAGTATATTATGTAATTAAACATATATTTTCAGCAAACATGAATGGAAATGAAAATCAAGAGGCAAGATCTGCTACACTCTTCAGTTTTACCATATAAGTGGTTTTTCTTCATTGACAACTAGATATTTAGAGTTAACTAACCTTGGAAGAGGTAATCTTCTGTATTTTGATCAGGATTATCAGAACTTCCAACAATATCAAACGGAGATCTTCCCGCCATCATTTCAAACATCAGGACACCTAAAGCCCACCAGTCTACACTAAATCCTAAGATTTAGAGGAAGATAGTATAGCACGTTAAGAAGCATGATCCAATCAAAATATTTACTTTTAAAAAATTATGATAATGCAATAAATATAACTAAATTAAGAGCTTAGACCTGATCACAAGGAAGTTGAAGTAACATACATGCTAAGAAATTCTAAAGTTTTCTAAACTCATCCACCAATTTTTTGATTCTCTCACAAATTCTGGGCTCACATAACTTTCCCAAATAAGCCAAATTATGACTTAATCTAATGTCTGATTACAGACAATGATTAAGTGACAGTAAAACAATTGCTGGATTTCCCCAATAAAACTGAACCTGACGACTGACTTTATTTTAACCTAGCCTAGCATGCACTGTGTTAATTCATGCACTGGTTATTTCTTTATTCCTAAACTGAGTTTAGTTGAATTCAGTAAAAGACCGAATATGCTTCTCTTTGCATAATGTAATAAAGTTTTAGAGCATAAAGGCTTACAATGATGGTAGAAAGCATGTGAATTCCTTAGAATTATCCAGAAGAATCCTGTATGTGGTATAATTGACCAGAGCTTCATTTAAGTTCCATTAATAGATAGAGATTTTGGTTAAATAAATGCTATACAAAATAGTCCTGCGTCCTGACTATTGAACACAACCAGCTTTCACTTTCTTTGTGAAATGATCCACGTTTATTTAAGTTTCTGCTCACAGACATATAGGACTCTCCTATAAAATATAGTGGTACAACTGAGAATGAACTGTTGCATAAATGACCAGGAACCTTCTAGATCTGGAGGCAGCCAAGCAATCCCAAATTACAATGCTGTATATTTCTCATTTGTACACTATCCTCCTGACAATGTCCTGAGCTGTTTAGTATACCTTTCGGTTTCATTAGAATTGACAACTCCTTTTCTGAGGCCCGCAAACTTTGCTTTTGATTGAGCCACAATTCACTTCCGTAGATCTTTATCATGAAAAGTTGATTCCACTGGTGGCAAGTGGAGTGGCTCTTTTACCGGGGAGGACCTATACCAGGGATAGGCAACCTTGGCTCTTTTATGACTCGTGGACTTCAACTCCCAGAATTCCTATGCTGGCTCAGGAATTCTGGAAGTTGAAGTCCACAAGTCATAAAAGAGCCAAGGATGCCTACCCCTGACCTATACTGACTATCCTTGAAATGATTAGAAAGTCTATTAAAAGGAGCTGTTCATCCTAGTATTTCATTACTTTTTCCAAAAAAGACAATGAATGTTGGCTCCGCGTGTTCAAGCAAATGTTGTTGTTTAAGCAAATTTATTTATAAATACAACTTAATAAAACCCTGACCATCTGGATTATGGATGACGTCATAACATAAATATCTTGGAATCTAAAAAAATACAAGATCATACTAGATCATGATTTTTATAATATTTGATTGATTTTAAAAATTAAATTAGTAAGTACAAGCTACAGAAGATTCCACAATATTTAGTAGAATCAGCTGAAACCATCTTACAAGAGTACTGTAAAGAAAAGATAGGAGCCATGTACATTGCTTTGAGCTCCAGGTATAAAAGTGAGATATAAATGTAACTGATAAATAAAAGCAGGATCAAAACATATTTCTCTGAAAAGTATATTGTATTCTTTGATGGCAAGATTAAAATTCAGAGATAGTCTCTAAAGTGAATGGCATTATCATGGAAAACACAACACTTGCTTGGTTGAAGCCTTGCTTGTTTAGGATATTAACTACACGTTTTACAAAATTGTAAGAGTTACCATAATCTTCTCCACGTAAAATTTCTGGAGCAATATAATTAGGAGTGCCACAGAAAGTGCTGGTGGTGTCTCCAGGTCTTAATCCTTCCTTTTAAAATAGAAACAAGGAAAAAGTGTCTTATACAGTTCAAACACATTTTCTGCTTCAATTTCATCTTAGGAATATAAAAACCAGACTTACTTTCTAGCAAGGCCAAGACTTAGGATATAGACCAGAGGTAGGCAACCTTGGCTCTTTTATGACTTGTGGACTTCAACTCCCAGAATTCCTGAGCCAGCATGTCCACGAGTCATAAAAGAGCCAAGGTTGCCTACCCCGATACAGACATTCTGGCTGCTTTTAGTAAACAAAAATGTAAGTTATGCTAACAAATTTCCTAATGATCTGTAATTAATTTCCTCCTTGCCCAGCATGGACACTTTCATCATTTTAAATTGGAATAACCAGACTGGAATAAGCTTATATTTTTTTCAGCATAGGAGTATTTATCTGATGTTGCTTATGAATAACCTGAGAATGCAATAGTTTAATCAAGATACCTGTAGTCTGCTAATACAATAAATCATAACATGAACCAATCTTTTGGGGCAAAGAAGTGTCAATTCAAACCAAATGTATCTATCTGACATAGTAGATGTGACTAACATAACACTGGACAACAAAGATTTTGCTTCCTGAACACTTTTGAATGAATCTATGGATTTTGAATTGCTAATCATGAAAATAATCTGTAATTTAGTCTATCACATACCATTTTACAGAAATCTTTTGTTTTTACACAATGGCAATGCTCTTCAGAACCTTTTGGCTACTACGCACACATAAAACATACAGAAAAATGGAGCTGTTTTTGAAGTACATCTACTGTACAACTGGAATATCTGTGGAGATCTAAAATTGCAATATACTAAAAAGAAATGGCCATTCAAAAAGAATTTGGTTTCAAGACAGAAAAATGTGGCATGTGAACCACTTGTTGACCTAATAAATATATTTTTGCTTCTAGCACCAAACTACATTCAGCTGGTTGACAAACTTCTTATAGCATACAGGACCATGAAGTGCAATGTGTCACTGAAGATTCATTTTCTGCATTCACAATTGTACTTCTTTCTTGAAAATCTAGGTACCGCCATTGACAAATATGATGAAAAGTCATTGCTACAATAGAAAAACAGTATATCAAAGCAACTGGAATCTATCAGTATCAGCTGACTATTATTGGAAATTGCACTCAGCTACATTGGACACAAGTACAAATGAAAATCAGCAGCAAAACATGTTAGCCCTATTGAACATGCAACGTGTCAGAATTACTGTGCAATTAAATACGTTATAGTCATTAAAAGTTAATTTCATATTTCTCAAGATTCCTACTGACACTTATTCTGAAATATATTTGTGTTCAGTTTGAAGGGTGTCTATTATAATCACCAAGTTTTCAGAAAGCAAAACCTTTGAAAAAATGTGTTGTCCACTGTCGAGATTTTTACTTCATCTATACAAAAAGCATAAATTAATATAAATAAAGCATTGCATAAGTGATATAAAATACCTAAATTATGTCAACTATCGTCAACCAGTAACAACTTTAAGGGGCAAGTCCTCAGGAAAATTTTGTCATCTACCTCACTAAATGAAGATCCAGAAAACCAAGGTTTTACTGCATTTTAATGATTTTTAAGCTTTCAAAATTAGCAATTTCTGATCAAAAGGCATTTACCAAGAAATGTTCAGATTTCAACCTGTAAAGATTTTGCTTCTCACCTTGCACATGCCATAGTCAGTCAACTTGATATGTCCCTCAGAATCCAGCAATACATTGTCCAGTTTCAAGTCTCTATAAATTATTCCTCGTTCATGAAGATAGTTTAAAGCTAAACTGATTTCTGCAGAGTAAAACCTAAAATGAAATCAGTATTTAAAAATACACTTCGAAAAATCTAGATAGATCCCTGCCTCGCCTACCAAGTCATTTTTTTCCCAGAAAAATGAAAGCACTTATTATTTTCTCTCACTGTGCTTTTTTAGACCATGGCATCGCATTGCTCCTAAACAAGCTATTGGATGGGGAAGCTCCATGGAATATCTTGAATCAGAAACAGGGCAAGGTTTCTGATTCATTTGCTTTCTATCTCAAGATTGTTTAAAACCACAATAAATTTCTTGGTTTATGAAAGATCAGCTTCGTGCTTAGCTGGATTTAATCCTTACCAACAGTCTCACTTCTAAGCCTCTTCTATAGCTTACTTCTACAGCTCATCTTGCTATTTTTTTAAGGTTTTGCTTTTTATGTGCCGTTATCTGAGGAAGCTGGAAGAAGATGGGTATAATTACTAGATCCAGCCAGACGCCACCATGTTTTAGTTGAGCCCCAATAATTGCACAGAGCAGTAGCAGTGGTAATTGTTAATTCCACATTAACCGTAATTGTTACTTTTTTTGGCTTTGAGTGACAAAAAAAGTTAAATAGTTTACTATCAATGCTTTAACAGTTTTGGAAGCTCTTTGAGGCAGAACTGAATCCACTGGGCCTGCAGAATACAAATCTGTGGCTCTTGACAAATTCAAAAACATATCCTTGGAAAGGCAAGGAAAACTAATCTGGGAAAAAAATGAATATGTAACTGAGAGAGAAAGAGATTGTTCTCCTTTTCTCAGCCAAGCTGGAAAGAATAAACAGAAGAGGCAGTGCTGGAATTAGAGCCGTTCAACTCCTACAAAAAGCAGACAGACAAAGAAAACATGCTGATACACAGGGGAAAAAACAATATGCTGCACGCAAATACATTTGTTTTCTCTCTAAACTCCTAGCTGATCTGCAAAATTCACATCAAAGAAGTACACACCTGGCATGCTCTTCTGGCAATTTCCTTTGTCGCTGCATGTGAAACATGAGATCCCCTCCATTCACATATTCGATAACAAAAAATAGCCTAAATCACAAAGAGAGATTATGTAATGGATAACTCTCACATATCCAGTTATCATCATTCACCTTTTCATTTATGTATCTTAAGGGTTCATAGTTCTCACAATATGACTTCCTCACTATTCATTTATTCACTATTCACTATTCATTTATTCTTTACCAATTTGTAAGATTTTTTTTTCCATATGACTGTGCTTTCTAAATTTCCCTCTTACTTTTGTTTGATAACATTAGAAGGTAGGGAGAATACCAAAGGATTCCTAAATACCTCAGGACTAATTATTTCCTTTTATTAAGTCTTCCTTAGAGAATTTCAGTGAGAATTCATTCATCACCAGTATAGAAATAGAATAGCAGATATGAAAATTACTAACGATTAATTCATTGCAAATTAATCTACTTTTTTATTGTTTTTCACTCTGTCTTACCAGGTTTTCTCACCCTCCTATCAAGAGTTGCATCTGTTCCACATATTTTCAAAGGGTTATTTACTATTACATTATTTTGTTCACATCATCTCTCCTTAATCTGTTTTTCCATACTCAAAGCCATTTTATATAGCCAGATTACATACACCTATAGCTGAAATTTCCAAACATTATTATGTAAAACCAAACTCAAACCTATTTAGAATTCTCATCAAATTATCCTTGTATAAGACTTGTATAAGACTATAGTCAAATAATATTTTTTTCATAATTTAGATTTCCTCCTACTCTTTAAGGCTATCAAAAATCTTTTTGTGAAACATTTATTCTCATCTCTCCATCTCAAAAACCCTATGTAAGTTACTTAAATTCTATGAATGTTGCTTTATGTGATAATATTCTTAATTATATAAACGATTTCCTTGTTTATCTTTCTTCTGAAAATCACTTTTGCAAATAATGATGTAATTATTTTTAAAAGATGAAAACAATACTTTATTTAAAAAAAATACAAATAACCTCTTATAAAAAGAATAGAAAAATATATGCAAAAAAATCTTACTGCATAATTTACCTGCTTTCTGTCTGGAAACATGAGTGAAGACCAACAAGGAAAGGATGATTTGATGCTTGCTCAAAGACATGCTTTTCTGTTTGAACCCAGTCAATATCCTATTAACAAAAATACAGATAATACTTGTCTTTCAAATATTTTCTGGGAAATGCCAATCAACCTGCTAGCTAAAGCTGACTATCAAACAAGCAGTGATATCTATTTTTAAAATAGCAAGGTAGTAAATCAGGTACTTTACGTCCACAATCATGAATTCCTGGGGTACCACTGAGGACTCTAAGTTTACAACATTACAAATCAGTGCAAATTCATGATAATCTTACATTTCTCACAGTCCTTACATTGGGTTTATTCCACTGCATTCCATCATTGTATGCAATCAGATCTCTTGAAACTCCGCAATGATTTAAGATTTGCAAATAAGTTTATGCATTATTGGGTAAATTTAGGCTGAATAGGTAAAAAAAATACAAAAAAACTACACTTAAAATGTTCCAAGATTTCTGGCTTTAAGTGCTCTTCCTGTAAAAATTCAGCTGTGTTTACAACATTTCCAGCATTTTTGTTAATGGAAAAAGTAGTTATGCGTAATAGGAGTTCAGAAGTGAAGCTCTAAAAGAAACAAAAGCTGATCATAAATCTCAAGAAATTATTAACCGTCTAATCTACTGGCACTTTTATTAAACAACTGACAGGCTTATCCAAAATAAGTGTTGTGGGTTGAACAGCCATTGGATAAACAATCCCCTACTCCAAGGAGTATACCAGCTCCCTGAAATGGCATAAGGCACTACAAAACAGTCCATTCAAAAAAGGGAGGATACTCCACTGGAGTAGATTGGACCTCAGTCATAGAACAATTTCAGCAGGTAAGGCAGAAAACAAAACCACCAAAGAGATAAGGCAGTATGTAAAAATTAAAACGGTGTAAGTATTGCTCACCTCATCATCATTAACCAATTCTTTTTTCACAACTTTCATGGCATAAATGCGCTCTGTCTTCTTTAATCGAACTAAAAGTACTTTTGCGTAACTTCCTCTCCCTATAACACGAAGTAGATCAAAATCTTGGAGACCTAGACTGGAAGATACTTTGCCACTTTCTCTACTCTTTGCCTGTAAAGTAGAGAGAGTCCTTTAATTGGTGAGGATGCAAAGCTAGATCATTCTTACAGCCAACAGCTCCACTACCAGTTTGTGATAAAGTAACCTCAGGAAGTGGCACTGCCAATTAAAGGCATTTTCACTTTTGGCCTTAGAAAGGCATCAACAATTTTAGTAGAAAAGAATGAGCATACCTCCTTTTCTTCACCAACATGGTCTAAGCTTTCGTGACTTGAAGGATGATATGGAATCACTAAAAGGAAAAAAAAACTCATATTTCCAGATAAATATAAATATTTAAAAAAATTTAAAAAAATATTTAAAAGGTTTGTGTCAAACTGGATAATTGGACTGGATTAATGCAGTTAGCTCTACATGGGGCTGCCCTTAAAGAGTATTCAGAAGATTCAACTACTGGAAAATGTAATGGTGGAGGGACTTATACGTACTAGTCACTCAGCACCTGTGACACCTATACCTTGCAAGCTGCAATAGCTGCAGGTATTGGTAGTCCTTGATTTATGACCACAGTCAGGACAATAATCCCTATTGTTGAACAAAGCGATAATAAAAAAAATGTCATATGACTGACCACAATTGCTTTATTCTAAGACTACAATTCTGGCACTATCCACTGTGGTTGTTAAACAATCACACAGGTCATTAAGAGGAGTTGTAAGTAAAAGCACAAAGTGCTATAGAGGCAAGAGGAGACATCCAGAAAGGATTTTCAGCCTCCTGAGTGAAGAGATACTCATATAGGCCTATACTAGGCCTCTCCCCACCAACTTGAGGTATTCCACAATTGTTTCCTTGCCACGCTGACTATCCGCTTTCTGCTTGGATTCATTGCTCATTTTTATTGCTAGGGGCTGACTGCAAGAGCTGCTTGTTGAAGGAGTTCAGCTCCTTCGGCTGGGTGCAGGAACATTGCCAAAATCTTCAGTACTTTGGCTCTATTTCTGCACTCCACCAAGGGAGTTCAGTTCCCCTCAGGAGGCAGCTCTTTCAGCCAGCTCGCAGAGATAAGAGGGAGTCCTCTTGGCAATTGGCAACAGCTTGCAACTTTCCATATCAATTTTCTCATTACTTTCTGGGTAGTCCAGCAGAGAAGCCGGCAAATGGAGATCAAATGATCACGAGGCATTTGCCAACTGGTCATAAGAGCAAACAGGTTGCCAAGCACTGAGACCACAATCATGTGACTGCAGGAGTGATGGTACAATTTTTTGCAATGGCTGGAAGTGTTTTATGGGTGCAACTTTCCCAAGACTTCCATAAGAATAGCAATAGCAGTTAGACATATTCTCCATAGTACTTTACAACGCTCTCTGACCAGTTTACTAATGTCAGCATATTGGCCCCCAGCAATCTGGATCCTCATTTTACCAACCTCAGAAGGCTGGAAGGCTGAGTTTACCTTGACCAGTCACGATCAAACTCCTGGCTTTGGGCAGAGTTAGTCTGCAATACTGCAATCTAACCGTTGCATCATCATTTTGGACAATTCTTGTATGAAGTTGAAGACTACCTGTATGTTTCTGGTTCCAATTAAAGATATTGGTGGTTATCTTTAATTCCTTAATAGCTTGGAGTTGGGTTATTTATCAGATCATCTTTCTCCAATACTACCCAATCTTTTAGATTCAGGAGGAGAGGCATGTTCGGGATCCTGTCATCTCACGAAGAGGAAGAGTTGTGGTGCCTGCCCTTTGCAACATCCCTCTCCTCTGAGATCAGCCTTACCCCAACCTGCTAGCCTTTTGCAAAACATTAAAAGGTTGGCTTTGCTCTCAAGCCTAGAGACCAGAAAGTGTGGGTGAACATGCTTTTTGGTTATATTGATGGAGAAACATTATGACAGATCTTGGCTGTTATTTTATACTGTGCTATGATATTTATGTTTTTATTCTGTTTTTATTTTGTTTTAATTGTTAGCCCCCCCAGAATCATGTATATCGAGTGGGCAGCCTTATAAGTGTATTATATAAATAAATCAATAATTTTATTTGGTTTTCTGTGACTGTGAGGACACCTTTTACAATTAAAAGAGAGCTGTAAAGCAGCGGTTCTCAACCTATGGGTCGCGACCCCATTTGGGGTCAAACAACCATTTTACGGGGGCCGCCAAACAATGCGATCCGCCATTTTTCCCCCTCAGGGGGCGGCGCCGCGCATGCGCAGCACGTCCATGTGACCGGGGGTCGCCGTATAAAAAGGTTGAGAACCGCTGCTGTAAAGCATGTTGAACCAAATCAGAAAATAGAAGAATGGCTGGCAAGAACCTCTTGCTATTTTTTCTAAAGTTATTATTTTATTAGATTTATATTCCAAATTATATTTTAAACTCCCTTTCAGGTACCTGTATATAAACATACACAAATATCAGCAATAAAGCAAAAAAAATAGCTTCTCAGATAAAATAATTAAATGTTAGTAAATATAGAAATACTTGTGCAGATTTTTGACTTCATTTTTTTATGAGAAGAGTGAGCAACGTTCTTACCTGGTTCAATGTTATCAGAATGCACTGAAGAATGATCCATAGGCTCCTACAAAATATATATAAATAAAAGGAAAAGTGTAAAATCATAATTTTTGAATCACTTACCATTTCTGGAAAGAGGTTCTATGTTTATTTTGGGATAAATTTCACTTATTTTCCAAGCAAACTTGAAATCATACAGGAAATTAAGCTGGTGCATGGTGCTTTCATTAGAAATGGTTTAGTTAAAATAAAATAACCCTATACTGACTTCATTCAAATATTTCAATGTGCATAAAAATGTTTTAATAGAGTCGGAGAAATCAGCAAATGGGGTTTTTGTAGGCAGGCAAAAAAAAATCAGGTTTCCAGCCTTGATTCTTACTGAAGTGTACTATTATTTGTAATTATATTGTACATGAAAACACACATACATTTGAGAAAAGTACAACTATCAATTTTACTCACCGGTGGTAAAGCATGACGGCCACATTCTATGCTGACAAGTTTATGACATTTTTTATGAACTAAAAGTTTACAGTTGATGCATTTATATCCCTGGCGTCCTAGTCCCCATATTCGGTCAGTACAGATGGCACAATGAGCTCTCTAGGGAAAAAAAGTACATAAATGGCATCTGGATATCAGCTCTCAATCTTGAATTGCATTTAACTCCTATTCTCTGCTTTACTTGTAAAATATTACATAGGAAGCATGACGATAGTCTACTGCATTGATGGCGAACCTTTTAGAGACCAAGTGCCCAAAAACTGGCCCTGCCCCCGCTCTGTCCCCCCATGCCTGCCCGCAGGGCCACTCACCGTCTCCAGGGCCCGCCACAGATCACCCAGGCAGCCCAGCAGTGCTATGGCAGTCACGCCCTCTGCCCACACCCTGCAGCACTAGCTGTGCACAATGGGGTGTGAGGGCAGAGTCTTGTCTACGCTGCCTGGCTGCCATGTCTTTGGCTGCGCTGCTCCATATGGGCCACGCTCAGGGCGACTCTCCTTCAGGGGGGCTGCTGGAGAGGAGGGAGTTGTGGGAGGAGGCGAGGCTGAGGCAACGGCACATGTGCCCACAGAGAGGGCTCCAAGTGCTGCCTCTGGCACCTGTGCCATAGGTTCGCCACCACTGGTCTACCATATAACTCCTGATATCTGTTCTTCACTAAGTATTGTTTTCTTCTACTTAATTTTCTACTTTTTTTCCCCAGATTATAGCACCCCCTTTATTCTGTAGCTATGCTAAGCATCCTACATTCTACAAGTGCTTATTTTCTCTTATTTTTGAACATTTGTCAAAATAGCAATAGGTTCCCCCATTATATGTAAGTTTGACTATAGTGTAAGGCCCACCATTTAGTACCATATATTCATACAGCATTCTAACGTATAGTTGGGGTTAACAGTAGGGTTTTAAAATATTAATCACTTCAAAAAGAATAAAGGGAGATAAAGTGAATGAACGAGCAAATAGAAAAAAAGAAAAAACAAATAGCCAATGCGTAAATCTAGCATCCCTAAGTGGACAAAAAAAAATTAGCAAGAGACTATTTAGTGCTCAGTATATTGTCTGTGGAGATTCTCAATCATCCAGGTCATAGTTCTCCCAAAGGCAACTGGATCTTGTTTTTTCCTTGAAAATGTTTCACTTCTCATCCAAGAACCTTCTTCAGTTCAGTTCAGTTGCCTTTTGAAAATTACCTTTGGGATGCTCAGTATATTGTTGGTGAAAAATTAGTCATAAAAAAGTATATTAAATTATTTTAACAATATGAGAAAGGACAGTTTGTTGACTGAGCCACAAAGGTTGGGAACCTCTGAACTAGAGGATGGAATATTCTCAGAATAGGATGATAGGCTAGAAAAATTCTTTTGTTTGAACCAAAATGCTTCTTCTTAAGATAAAGTTTTGGATTACTGCAATGCTCTCTATATAAGCCTGCCTAGAACTTCAACTGATCCAAAATGCAGCAGGGCATACAGTAATGGGGATCTTAGGTTTGCCCATATGCTACCTCTGTTGTGCAAAATGCACTGGCTTCCAGTTTCTTTCCTGGTACAATTCAAGATTCTGGTCATCACCTTTAAGCCCTAGAAGGTACACAGCCAGGCTATCGGCCAGACCGTCTTTCTCTAAGGCAGGGATGTCAAACTCAATTTCATTGAGGGCCACATCAGCATTGTGGTTGCCCTTGGGCGGGGGGACTGGGTAGGTATGGCCAGGATGGGCGTGACCTGCTGGGTGGGTATGACCTACTGGGTAGGCGTGGCCAGCTCTACATCACTTGCATCGGTGGTGCCTGGGCAGGACTGGGGCAGATCTAAGGTCTCCGGTGGAGGAGGGTGGGACTGGGGCGAACACCCGGACATGGTCCCTCCCACCCTCCCTGTTCCTTCCTTCCTCCCTCCCACCTTCGGTTCCTTCCTTCCTTCCTCTCAACCTCCATTCCTTCCTCCCTGTTCTTTCCTCCCTCCCTCCCATCCTTCCTCCCACCCTCCCTTTCTCCCTCCCTTTCTTCCTTCCTCCGTTCCTCCCTTCCTCCCATCCTTCATTCCTTCCTTCCTACCTCTGTTCCTTCCTTTGCCTTTTCATCTCTTTCCTTCCCCCACGCTCAGGAAGAGGTGATGGGAGGGGGAGAGATTGCCAGCACTAACATGCTGCTGCCGGCCATTCCTATACCATGTGGGCGGGTGGGAACGGTCCCATTGAAAGGGATGCCTCCTGGCTGCAAGATTGGAGGGGCTGGTGGGAGGGGGATAGCATAGCTGAGAGGGGAGTTGGGGGGGATCGGCGCTGGCTGGGATTGGCGCTGGCTGGGAGGTTCTGCTGGAGCTAGACCTGGCTTTTTCCCCAATAAGGATAGAATTGGATAATTGCACATTAGAAGTTTGACTTGGCCCAGGTATTTTTGTTTTTAATGTTTAAATCTGTTTAGTGTTATAGTTTTAATATGCTTTTATATGTTGGTTTAAGTTTTGAGTGGGAGCCACCCAGAACTGGTTAAAAGATGGGCAGCTAGATAAATATTTTAAATAAATAAATACATCTCCTAGTAACCAAAGTTTGCCATAATGTTCCAAAGCAGGAAGTTGTGGTTCTCAGCTTATGATGTTCAATTGACTATTATGTTTTTTTATTCAATTGATAACCATGCCATGGAAAAATTTGGCAAAAAATACTATTAAAAGCTTCCTGATTTGATTGCTCATGCAGCAAAGGCAGGAGCAAACAGCATGAACAATGAAGCAATCCACATATAATCACACTACATGAAGCAGTTTGATGCTTCCAAAGCATTGTATGTTTTTAGTTGCCACAATCCTTCATGACAGACCTGGGCATTTTACGCCCCTGGGCCACATCTGGCCCTCTGGTTGTCCATATCCAGCCTGCTTGAAATCAACCAGAAATTAGAAATCAAATGCAAGTAAGATATGGCATGTATTCTTACCAGTAGCAGCTAATCAAAGCCACATAATTTTCTGCCTTTTATTAAGTGATAATATGGAGCAGAATTAAGCTCAGTCTGTTGATTCGGTCCTCCAGTTCCAGTTTCTCATGTGGTCTCTTGAGAAAATTAATTTCCCACCCCTTTTGTGGTTTATAGCTGCTAAGGACAACTATAGGCTACACAATAATTACCAGTGTATGTGTACAGGCCAGTAGAAGATTAGATAGTTTAATTCTGCAGAAATACTTGCAAGGTATTTCTTCTCTTTTAAGGACATAGGGTAATTTGGAAGTAATGCCGTTGGTTGAAAATCAAAAGGTTATCAAAAATAAAGTCATTGATAAAGTTATACTATAGTGAATGTAAATAAATTCTGGGTTAAAAGCTTTTTAAAGCCTATTTTCTTAGCATCAGTACGTAAATAAAAAGAAATAGTTATTTGACACCACAAAAGATCAAAGTCCAATTGTGAAAAGTGAAAGCAGCAATAATTTATTAACACTCACTCTGTTAAAACGCTTGGCTTGAAACGTATGACCATTTGCACAATAGAGCTTTCTCCATCTTCGTGCACCCCTACGATAAATAGATTCTAAAGAAAAATAAATCAATTAAATTAAACTAGTAATTATAACCAACAGACAAAGCTGTACATTTCATCACCATCTTGTAATTAAGCTGAGCCCTTGTTCAAGAACTGCACAAATCAAGCTTTGATATATAGATTTCCCAAAGACTGAACAAGTCAGGTAAATAAGAACAATTTACATATACTAAGAAACAAGAGAATAGATATACTGAAAACAGTGTCTTCATTAATGTGGGCTTTTCATGTTTTTCATATTTAAAAATAAATAAAACTAGCTTAAATGGCTCATATAATATATTAGGAGATTTTTTTTCTCTTTTTACAACCCCATAATCTCATAATTCGGGCTGAAGTTAGGACAACTGAATGAAGCTGAGCTTTTCCTGGCTGGATACCCTTCCTGACGCCTACATGGAGTTTGCAGCAGATTCTTTCTCTTTGAACCCTGTTATAAACTTCTGTCGCTGCCTAAGATTGAATTCTCAACCTTCCAAGTGGGAGACGAGAGTTTTCACCTCTAAGCCACCCCTGAGATAATATTTTAGGAGATTATCTTGATAGAAAAACAGGTAGGCTTTGGATCAGGTCCACCCACTCTATACATCAGTTAATACTTTAATCATCTGATTCAAAAACAATACCCTAAAACAGGTTTGAACACTATCTTCTGTAATTTTAAGCAGGATTTCCACCTAATGTCTAGAAAAATCTTTACTGCAGAAACCCAAAGTCACAATACCAATCTCATGGGAAAGTGTAACTTAATATGGTATCTTTCAGAAACATTTCAACTGGAAACTAAGTTAAATAAGGATAAATCCTTGCCCCATTATTATTGTATTTTACACTAAGAGTGGGGTGTTTACCCAAAGAGAAACATCTCCCCAAATTAGCTAATCTCCAAACCCCATAACAACACTGGCATATAAAGAAGATGCAGTAGTTGCACGACAGACCTCAGCAAGTCTAAAAGAAGAGTCACCAACCTTGTCAACTTTAAAACATATGGATTTCAACTCCTAGACTTCCCCAGACAGCCATGCTGGCTCAGGAATTCTGGGAGTTGAAGTCCACGAGTCATAAAAGAGCCAAGGTTGCCTACCCCTGGCCTAGTGGGAGGTTTTTGCTGGAAACTGGCAAAAACACCACCAATTGTGATTACAAAGCCAAAGGGCATTGCAAATGGTCATAAAGGTGAGCTGTTGCCAAGCACCCAAGATGTGATCATGTGGCCAATGGGGGAAGGTGTTCTGGAGAGGTGACATCGTAATCTTGAACAGTCAGTAAGCAACTGGTTATAAGTCAAGGACTACATGTATTCAGGTTTCATATTCCAATTTATGGGAAAGTGAAATGCCCATTTCTACTTGTGCTTCAATAAATGTCCGAAGGATGTTTGGATGCCGAAAAATGGCTATTCCCATCTTCTTTCTAGTCAACAGAAATAAATACCTTCCACAAGCTCTAGAATTCTCAAGTAAATAGAAGTTTCACATGGTATCAATTGGAAAGCCAGAAAGATGTTTTTGAACCAGCTATGTATCTAACAACATATGGGCCTACTACATTAAACGTTTGACCATTAGGAATTTTTAAAGGTAGATTCAGAAAAACCATCTCTGCAAAAAAACAACAACCCTGCTCTTTCTGAAATAAGTGCATTTAAAAGCCCTGAAATTTCTCAATTGTAAATAGGCCAGAGCTATTTTATAAATACAGCTGTTGCTTTTTATAGGAAAAACAACTCTTTTCTCTCTCAATTTATCACTCAGAATTGTACTAAAGCCTGAAAACAGATGCCATTAAAAAATCCAATGTTTCTGTTGGGTTGGAGGAAAATATTATTTATATTTTAGGTTTTCTATGGCAAACCTGGTATTCTTAACATATGACCATAATTCAGACTGGAATTTCGGTCGTAAATTATTGTGATTATAAATTAAAACACCCATGTGTCTGACTGTTTTTACAATGCTAATTAAGTGAATCAGACAGCCATTAAATCCAAATCATGCAGTTTTAAGTCCGAATCCCATATCTGTTAAGCAAATGACTCGTTCGTTAAGCAAATCCATCCTCACAAATGGGCATTTTTTCTGCCAGAAACCTACAAAACGTATAGCAAATCATATAAATGCAAGCTGGTTGCCAAGCACCAAAATGCAGTCATATGACCACAGATTTGTGCATGGCGTGACGTTTTACAATGGCCACTGTAAATTCAAACAATCATTAAAACAACCGGTCATAAGTCGAGGATTACCTATTTTTTGTTTGATATACTTTTAGGAACCTTTTATTTCCATTTAAAATAAGTAGTTTCAATTTATAAGAATAATGCTGCCATGAACCCATTTACAAAGGTTACATCATAGCATCAATTTAAATTGTATAGTTGTGTTACTTATTAACTTTAATATACTTACTATCTTCCCCTGGACAGGGCATTCCCGGCCTTTCCGGTACACAAGGAAACACTAGAGAAGAAAGTAGTAATATTAGATTAGTGATTAATTTAAAGATGTGAGAAGCAACAATAATAGCAATAGCACTTAGACTTATATACCGCTTCATAGTGTTTTACAGCCTTCTCTAAGCAGTTAATAGAGTCAGCATATTGCCTCCAACAATCTGAGTCCTCATTTTATCGACCTCGGAAGGATGGAAGGCTAAGTCAACCTTCAGCCTGTCAAAATAAAACTCAGCCTGCAATACTGCATTCTAAAAGAGCCGAGGTGGCGCAGCAGTTAGAGTGCAGTACTGCAGGCCACTTTAGCTGACTGTGTTCAGCAGGTCAGCGGTTCAAATCTCACCGGCTCAAGGTTGACTCAGCCTTCCATCCTTCCGGGGTAGGTAAAATGAGGACCCAGATTGTTGGGGGCAATGTAAATATATATATACATTGCTTACTGGTGTACACCGCTTAGAGAGTGCTTGCACTTAAAGCGGTATATAAGTCTCATAAATAAATAAATAAATAATCACTACACCACCACAGCTCAGGGTTTGATGCATCATTAAAGAGAATCAAACTTGCATGATTTTTGAGATAATTTATGTTAACTGTGTTTTACTCTAAATCAGTTTTTCCCCTACAGGAAACTGAAAAAAAAAATCATCTGAAAAACTAATTTAAAACTTTACAGTATCTAGAATTACATCCTTCTAGACTAGATAGTATCAAACTGTGTTTACTGGAACCCCAAGATTTTGTGAGAATCATCCAAGGGTTCAACACTGCTGTTCACACTGTGTGAAATGTATTATCGCCATGCTAATTGTAAAATTTTGCTTAATAAAATGTATTATATGAAATGATTTATCAGTGGATTGTACACTGATTTTTCACATTGAAAAGAGTTCCTCAGGTATCTCAAGTTTGAAGACCATTGCTCTAGAGCAGGGGTTCTCAACCTTGGCAACTTTAAGACTTATGGATTTCAATTCCCAGAATTCCTCAGCCAGCTTTGCTGGCTGAGGAATTCTGGGAGTTGAAGTCCACAAGTCTTAAAGTTGCCAAGGTTGAGAACCCCTGCTCTAGACCAGGAGTGGACAATTAATTTTCCCAAGGAGTCGCATGAGAAATTGGGATGGTTGTGAAGGGCTGAACTAATAAGGCTATGAAAATGCGTAGGCATTCACGCACATAATACATATTAATACACATTCACATAAAAATTTGCTTTCAAAATAAAAGCAATCTATGTGGCTGGACAGGGACAACCAAAGGGCCAGATGTGGCCTGGGGGGGGGGGCGTAAAATGCCTAGATTTGCTCTAGACCATAATATATACACTGCATGTCAAGTAGCAATCTCCAGTATTCTTTTTTTAATAATATATTTGAGTCATTATATGGGTCATAGTTAATCCAATAAAATCAATAATTATAGTAGCATTAAGAAATTGTACATATTCTGTCTACTACCACCCTATTAAAAAGATAAATAAAATCTAGAATTACTGCTAAAGAGAAAAGGGTTTCAAGCATCTCTACATTTTGAACCACTTTCTATTCTGGAAAGAATTATCTATCATTTCTACAATATTCAACACCACCTTTCTAATCTTTGGATTACACCATGTTACCATGTATTAGAAGTTCTGAATCCTTATTTAATTCATATAGACGAAAAGCCTCTTCCAGTTCCAGCTGGGAAGAAACAGTACATGGATCCCCTAAAAAAAAAAAGTTAATTCATGTTTAGTTATTTTTATTTAACCACATGTATACCCTGCTGCAATCTCGACTCTGAGAAGCTTTCGTGATACAACTAAATTTAAATCAAGGTGTTTTTAAATTATCTTTTTTTCCAGAAGCAATCAAATCAATCTTTATTATAGTCACAGACAAGTATAATTTCCATCTATATACTTTCTTTAAAGTTCTCAGTCTTGCAATTTCATAGGGTAATTGCACAACTTAAACAAGGAAATTTATGAAGTATTTATTTTAGAAATATTGTCCTTCAATGGTAAATCTGTTATTGCAATACACACCCTTATTTCTGAATAAAATAAATGTGCACCAACCTGTTGCTCCAATTATATTTGTTTTATAAATTGATTAATGTGTCACACTGGATATTTTCTATGAGCTTCTCATGACAGCACTTTTTTTTATTTAGGAAGTTTTTAGGAATTCTCAGAGCTACACTAGTGTTTCTGTTTTATCAATTTCACAAATTATGAAATTATGAATGAAAAATCCATCAAAAAGATCACAAGATTCATTCTTCAACAATCAGCGATCTCTCTTGCCAGCAAGCCTTCTTCTCAGGAATATTTACCACATGATAAATACTGGTGGTAAACTTTTAATTGTTTTTCTCCACAGTCCCTGTCCATTTTTGAACTTAATCTTTCTCTGGCAGCTTTCCCTTTTATGCCTCATTCGGACCTGTTTGGACTTTAGAAAGTTAGCCTTCCAAAATATGGACATAATCCTAAGTCTCCTCCCCTAATTCGTTCCTGGCTTGGGAAGAAATCATAAAACATAACATTTTCAGAACATTTAGAAATGTTTTTTATTAATGTATCATTTTAACTTTGCAAATTAAACTGACTTTTTGAATTTTCAGTATTTTTTACAGTCCTTATTCCTTAATTTTTAAGAATTGTTTGTCATATTTCTGTGAAACAGTATTTGAATCACCTATTTCTTCTTCATAATAATTACTTTCTTGCTCCTTTTCTCCTCTCCATTTTGTAACAATGATGTCTTACATCTTGTTCTCTGGAGTGTTGGTGCTACCAGCTGTTGTCTTCTTTTAACAATCGCTCATTCAGTGACTGATTGAAGTTACAGCAGCGGTGAACAAGTAGAACTTAGGGTCCTCAAAGTTCTGCCTATCTCAGCATTTCAGCAGTCACATGATATGATCCAGGCACCCAGATCAGTTACGACATTCCAGAATGCACATTATTGCCATTGGCAACCTTCGCTAGCCAGCAGGAGGCCCTTAATGGCAACCCTGGCTATTGCACTTAACTCTACAGGACTCACTAAACAACAGCAACCAAAAGCACCAGGAATGCCATCGCTAAGCAGTGCAATTACACAATGTTATGGTTTGCAACCATTGCTTAATACAGTGGTTCTCAACCTGTGGTCCGCGGACACCTGAGGACCGCGATGTCATCACAGGGGGTCCATGAAGGCATGAAGAAATGCTATGATTTAAATTTTGAGTTAAGTCTTGGGGGTCAGTGATCATGGTCTGTGGCCACAAAAAGTATTTAAAAGAGGTCATTAGTGAAAAAAAGGTTAGGCTTAGTGATTAAAATGCCACGGATCTAAAGCATGTCCACTCTGTCAGATTTCATGGGCATAACGTAAACAAATGAAATATTTTGTGGATGTTAAACATTTTGTTTTCTTTGGGTGTTAGTGGGTATTTTTTTGTTTGAAGAGGGTAGGCCTATACCTTGAGTTCCTTCCTTCCAACATATCCAAATGGCTCCTGCTTTTAAACAATCATTTGGATATTCATTTGAAAGATATTTACCATTCAAAATTCAAGGATAACATTTCCTTCTTTGCAGCTCTTAAAAAAGAATTAAACAAGGCCAGCTAATGCACTGAAGCACATAATGTAATTAATTGCAGATATTTTTTAAAAAAGAACTTTTATTAGGACTTGTTTGGAGAACAAACCTGTTCTTCTTCAAACAGAACTGCAGAGCAATTTTAAAAAAACACAGTGCTAATCCAAGAGGCATGTTCTCAAATATGCCTGAGGGAATTTAATGCCTATAATCCTCCTGGAATTAATGTTTATTTTCTTTAACAATATTTCTATGCATGTCAAAGTTTTAAACTTTCCTGTTCTATCTAACCTTGCTACAAAGTCCTTCCTGCTATCATCATGTAAATAGCTGGAAAAAGATTGGAATACTGAAATAGCTAAAACTGGATTTCTAGTTCTAGTGTGAATATAAGGAATCATGATCAATATACAAAACAAAAAAAATGTGGATCTAGAATTAGATTGCTGGAAGTGGCCAGCAGGCTACTGATTCCTATCTATATCTCCATGTAACTTTTTAACAATTAAATGTAGTACAGGCAGTCCTCGACTTACAACCACAACTGGGCCCAAAATTTCCACTGCTAAGCAAGATAGTTGTTAAGTGAATGTTGCCCCATTTTACGACCTTTCTTGGCACAATTGTTAAGTGAATCGCTGTTTTTGTTACGTTAGTAACATGATTGTTAAAAGAATCTGGCTTCCCCATTGACTTTGCTTGTCAGAAGGTCGCAAAAGTGGATCACATGAACCCGGGACACTGTTAACAATCGTAAATATGAGCCAGTTGCCAAACATCTGAATTTTGATCACATGACCATGGGGATGCTGCAACAGTCATAAGTGTGAAAAATGGTCATGTCACTTTTTTCAATGCCATTGTAACTTCAAATGGTCACTAAACAAATGGTTGTAAGTCAAGGACTATCTGTATATTAATAACTTTTAAAATTCCCTATCCAGTTTTCTGAATTAAGATTAAATATGAGGAAGTTTACACTGCAGGTCACGTGGAATGAAATACAATGAAGAACTTGTCTTGCCACTTTCCAGTTCAATACTTTTATTTGCATCTATTTCCACAGTTAATTTCTTATATTTTCAACTTAACTGTACCAGCTGCGTGAGCTTGGTAAACTTGTTGAACTATCTTTTCTCTATGAATCCACTGGAAATGCAGTAAGACACAGTCAAAAGCGTTTGAGAGGAACAAGAAAAATATAAATTTCCACATGTCCTAAAACAATTCCTGTTTTCTTTTTCAATCTATTTCCCACATAATTTGAAAGTAAGCTGAAGCAGAATAAGCACATTAACAATCTATGAGACAGAGAAGCCTAAATTCTAATATTCTTTCTTCATTTTTCATTTCAAGATTCAAATATAAAAAAGTTTTCCATACAATCGTCATGAAACCTAAAGCAATGCAAATATCATTTGATAATCCCTATACTATTATAAAATTGAATCTAGAGTAAGACCAAAACCACAAAACCACAAAGTGCCTCTGTGACTTTTTACAGCACTGCAAAAGGTCACACAGAGGCACTTGATGGAATATGCTAGTAATTTATGAAATAGTTTTACTTTGTGCTAACTTACCTTCTTCATCAATCCATTTCATAGTGAATAACTGTTCATTATCAAAGGCGCACATATCTCGAACTTCATTACATAGTCCCTCAAAGGAGATAGAAGGCTCAAAATAAGTTATCATAATGTCCCTGAAAAGAATACAATAGACTATTAATTCAGTATTGAAAATCCATTTGTAATTGTATCTATTTTATTTGCTTCTAATCAATCAGTTAACATGAAACTGCCTGTATGTTCAAGTCTTAAAAACAACTTCATGCTAATTTAAATGTGCATGAGCCCCTATTTTCTCCAGAAACAAAATGTATACAAGATTTATTTATTTATTCCTTTTATGTATCTCCAAATCAAAGCAGACTTGTGGTAGTTTAGAAAACAATCATCAAAAACATGCATAACTGTTAAATATTCCATGGTAAATACGAATATATCAAAACAACTAATGACTAACCAAAGCCTCAACAATATAGGTAGCCCTCAACTTACAGCCATTCATTTAGTGACCGATCAAAGTTATAACAGCCCTGAAAAAGTGGCTTATGACCATTTTTTATGCTTCTGACCACTGCAGCATCCTCATGGTCAAATAATCAAAATTCAGATGCTTGGCAACTGGTTCATATATGATGGTTGCAGTGTCCCAGAGTCACTGTTGCAACCTTCTGACAAAGTCAATGGGGAAACCAGATTCATTTAACAATCATGCTATTAACTACAGTGATTCACTTAACAACTGTGGCAACATTCACTTAATAACTGTCGTACTTAGCAACAGAAATTTTCGGCTCAATTGTGATTGTAAGTCGAAGACAGCCCGTACAAGAATAAATTACAGTACAGCTGAAAATGAAAAACAAATAAAAGAATTTTGAATGAAAAATAGCAGGAATTAAATATTATAATTCAAATATAATGATAACAAACCGTTCAGCCAAGTATATGTTGTTATTTTTTGCAGAAGTAATGTCTTCAGTAATTTTTGGATTGTTAAAAGAAATGGAGCCAGCCTTAATTCTATAGGCCAGGCACCCACAATGAGAGAAAACCAACCAGGAAACAATTTCTGGTCTTCATTCCTCTCCCTTCGTGACAGTGGGCATGATCAAAAGCTCCTTCTACGAAGAACTTATTGGACAGGCTGATTGATGTAAAAGGCAGATTCTGCAAGTACCTAGGTGCCAGGCCATAAGGCAGAGACTGGTTCCATGGAGAGTTTTTTTCACGGACCGGAGGGGGCATAGTTTTGCATAATGCCTGCATCCTACGGATGGGGCTTCGCTTGTTTGCACGTACCGGTTTCTGGCATGCCACGGACCACTGCCGGTCCACGGACTGGGGGTTGGGGACCCCTGTCGTAAGGGATTATGACCAAAATAGTACTCTGATTTGCCTCGGGAACCCTATGAATAACCAGAATAGAGACTGAGGTGAAAATTACATGCTCTTGGTTGGTTAACATCTGTCACTAACAAGGCCACTGTTGCCTTCTGCACTAACCATTGCCTCCAGGGGGGTTACCAAGGCAACCCCATACACTGCAGTAATCTAATAAAAAAAATGACAAGAGCATGAGTCACATCGAGATTGTGTTGTTATAATTTTTTTTTAAAGAAAATTAAATGAAGACATAATAAAGAGTTCAGAAATATTTCTGAAATATACCACTCGGGAATGAATTCTTCTGGTTAGGAGTCTTTTAAACCTGAATCACCACCATTACTTAAAAGCCATGTGTAATAAAAGACTCATGCTTAAGAGAAGATAAATATAGTTCTACAGCATTTATGGTGAAGTTTCCTGGAGCTTTATTGTTGATGGAATCATCACAATAAAAGTTGTTAAAACCAAGCGTCATCCTATTTATGACATAGCTATCACATTCTTCATGATTCCTAGTCAACAAATAATGCAATAGGAATGCTGGGAGGGGGGTTGCATCACATTACTTTGTCTTTTCAATAGCAATACATTTAGTTGCATATGGAAATCTCTTTCCACTAGCTGTACAGACATATGGTGAATTAAATTCCTTCTTTCCCTCAGCAGTATCTCAGTGAATCTTCAATCAATTTCTAATTTAAAAAAAAACAGCTCAACATCCCTCCCAAACTAACCCATTGTTTCTGCACTTTTGTAGCCATATATCAGAATTTAGCAACTAAACATAGAAAAGCTTATTCTAGCCAACAAAAACAAGCAAGGAAAAAGGAGTCAGGAGAAGAAATGATGTTCATGATTATACAAACAACTTATAGGCCTACACTCAAATCTGAACATGCAAAAGATATTTCCTTCATGAAAGAAATTTCAAACTGCCAATGTTTGTTTCACTGTTCAAATTAAGGAGAATAACCTATTACAAATAAGAAAACTGATGCCCCAAAGGATTTTTTGGAAGCACAACATTCAATAACGTTTTCTAGATAGAAAAAAAAATGTTTTCAAATGTCATTTATCTTAATCAACTTTAATGTTCTTTTTCTTAATCAACCACTGCCCAAGTATTCCACAAATACTCTTCTGCAATTGAAAGTTTGTCTACTTTAACAGTGTTTTTTTCTCTAAACAATAAATAGGACAGAGAGTAAAGAAAAAGGTATTCTTCAACCTTTACAGTCATGACACCTTAATTGTGACTAAGTAATTCCAGTTAGCTAACCTGTTTATGCCAGATCATGAAACAACTCCCTCTGACTCATTAAACTCCAGATGTAATAATCAGCTGCAGACACATTAACTTTCAACATTAACATAAATGTTAACAGAGTACCAGAGAACAAGACCACCTTTCTACATTATTGAACAAATGATATCATTTGTTCAATCAGTTTTTAATAAAACATGTAAGAATCATAAAATGTATAAAGTTCACCACACATTTAAATAGCAATAGCATTTAGACTTATATACTGCTTCACAATGCTTTATGGCACTCTCTAAGCCAGGCATGTCAAACTTGCGACGTCATGTGTCATGTGATCTATAGCATCCAACCCATGGGCCGGCAGTTTGACATTCCTGCTCTAAGCGGTTTACAATTTCAGCATATTGTCCCCAATAATCTGGATCCTCATTTTACCGACTTCAGAAGGATGGAAGGTTGAGTCACTCTTGAGCCCTGTCAGGATCGAAGGAATCAAACTCCTGGCAATGTGAGCAGAGTCAGCCTGCAATATTGCATTCTAACCACTGCACCACCACTGCTCTTAAATGAAACACACACAATAGCTGGCATGGCTTAGAGTTTAGACCAGGGGTAGGCAACCCAAAACACTCAAAGAGCCACTTGGACCCGTTTCCCACTGAAAACAAAACACTGGGAGCCTCAAAATTCTTATGATAACTAAAATGAAGATAACACTGCATATATCCTTTTTTACCTTTATGATATGTTTGTGTCTATATATATATATATATATATATATATATATATACACACACACACACACACACACACATATACATATATATAATATATTATATATACACAAACATATATATACATATATATATACACACATACACACATGCATATATATATACGCATATATATTTACACACACATGTATATATACCTATATACATATACACATACACATATATACATATACGTATATAATAAAGGTAAAAAAGGATATATGCAGTATTATCTTCATTTTAGATATCAAAAGGGTCTCTCTCTGTCCCTCTCTCTCTTTCTCTCCCTCTCTCTCTTTCTCTCCCCCCCTCTCCCTCTCTGCAATATTCTGCTCACCTGGCAAGCTGGCTTCAAGCTGTTCTCCAACAAGCTCAGGGGTAGGCAACCTCGGCTCTTTTATGACTCATGGATTTCAACTCCCAGAACTCCTGAGTCAGCATAGCTGGGCTAGCTAGCTCTCTCCAGCCCTTCTTGCTTCCTGCAGAGACGCAGCAAAGGAAGGAGCCTCGCTTAGTAAGCTTTTCAGCTTGTCGGAGAACAGCGTGAGTCTACTCTCTTTTTTACAGAGAGAGAGAGAGAGAGAGAGAGAGAGAGAGAGAGAAAGAGAGAGAGAGAGAGAGAAGCAGGGATGCGCAGGTGCCCCTCTCTCTCTCTCTCTGCAAATGGCAGAGGAGGCTGGGAGCCACAGGGGAAGGCTCAAAGAGCTACATGCAGCTCCAGAGCTGCAGGTTGCCGACCAGTGGTTTAGACCAGTGGTTCTCAACCTTTCTAATGCCATGACCCCATAATACAGTTCCCCATGTTGTGGTGACCCCCAACCACTTATACATCACCAGGTGCCAGGGGCATGGCCAAAGAAAAGAGGAAAAAAAATGGCGGACAGCCTTGTTTGGCGCCCCCCGTGAAATGGTCGTTCGACCCCAAATGGGGTCCTGACCCACAGGTTGAGAACCACTGGTTTAGACAGATCTTCATACATATGAAATGTTAGATCTATGTCAAAATGCAAATTATACTAAGTTTTAATTAGAAAGGGGGGGTAGTTTAGATAGTAAAACCATGGATATCCAACCTTCTTCGTCTTTGGTTGCACATACAGTATATCAACATAGTTAATGTAGATAAATTAAAAATATCCTTTATTTTTTAAATATTTTTTATGCTCTTCTGGAGCTGCATTACTAGCTATCCAGGACCAGACACGGCCTGCAGGCCACGAGTTGGACACACCTGATCTGAACTATGTTCAGTGTCAATAGCTAAAAACAGGAGACAACTTGCTTTTCTCTTTTTATCAGGTAAGAGAAGGCAAGTAGGCAAGTATCCATACCTGGGAAAGACAGTCCAAAAGCGTAGGAAATAATAGTTTTGTACCTATGTCACTTACTTCAATGAAGTTAGAAGACCATCTTTTTATGAGCACTAGAATCTAGCTATCAATAAAAGGAATTCATTGACTGAGATTTCTTACACACAATATTTTTTATCTTGAACCTTAGTTCTTAAAGAACATTAAATAATAGGACATTCTATATTTACTTTGGTTATCACCAAACTGGAATTATGTTCAGAAACAAGAATGTACAAGAACTCTGTGAGATTAATATGTATTTTCAAAATATATTCCAGCTTTACCTGAACATCCTGATATATTTAATGGAAGTTATTTCTTTGAAAACATCTATAGGACACAAGAGATTTTTAATAACC